AGGGAGAAGAATATCCGAAGTGGCGTCGGGGCCTACTCGAAGAGGAAACTCGACCGGTTTTACCCTACGCGATTCTTCGCTTCGACGGAAAGGCAGGTGCAGAAGACGGAAGTAATATTGAAGATAAAGTAAAAGGACAAGCACAAGTTCAAGGAAGCGAGGATTTTCATGAAGACCGCGGTCAGACCATCTTTGCTGACTCGTCTGCTGAGTCCAACTATGACCGAGAGATCTGGGATGTGACGTGCGCGGAGATGTTGCCAAAACAGCGGATAGTGCTCGGCCCAGACTCTTCCGAGATCCGTGGGGTACGCCACTGGGAAAACCATCGAGTGCACAAATCTACGTGCATTTTTGAACATGAAAGAAGTGAAGAAGAAAAGCCAGGATGCCTTTTCGATGAAATTCGTATGTATGGGAAAAAGACTGAGCACTGCTTATTTTCGAGGGAGCAAGTGCGCACTGTGATCAAATTCATGATCAAGGGCACTTGTCGAGCACCAGCGGGTGTCTTGCCTTGTGCCGACTTCGTTTCACCAAGAACGTTCGCAGGAAACGAAGAAGTGCCTTTAAGGGTAGGTTAAAGGTGCTTTTCTTACCGCTTTTTATGCCTCTCTCCCTTAGGAAGAGAAAGGCATAAAAAGCGGGCGGGTAAGCAAGCATCAAAAACCTACCTCTAATGCCTCACTCATTGGCGTCGCAGCTAGCCGTCCACAAGGCTGCATGTGGGGGAAAGCCAGAACCGTTTGTCCGCAGTTTTTCAGGAACTTGCTCTGATTTTCGTGCGCATCTTGATTGCCGTCTGAAGGAAATGCAAGTAGACCATCGCTCACCAGCGCCTCTCGTCGTGGGAAATTGGCTAGACGTCGAAGACGAAGATATGGACTCGACCATAGATTGTGCCATTGCCAGCTTCGTCTATGAGCGGCTCCCTAGCGAACGCAGTCGTGCAGCGATGCTTGCTACGGTCCTAAGGCGACGATCTTGCGAAGGTCAAGCGCAAGCCATCTTGGAGCGAGCAAGAGAGGCCGTTATCGAGGAGCGAATGACTTACCCAAAAGTAACTGACCACATGGACGCTGACAAAGTAACCAACACGAAGGGCGGCATCGATGCTTCTGACAACTACATAGATCCGGGCACCAGCCCACGCTCACCCGTGACGCCACTGTCGAAAGCACATACTGGCACTATCCCGTCTTCTACAACGGGACGCTTTTCTCGCGCGACCAAAGCAAGCACCTCCATTCCTAGGATACTAGAAAGAGCTGTTTTCATGGGAAAGCGAGAATGGATGGAAACGATTATTCCAGACATAGGATTCACGAAGGTGTGTTGGCGGGGAGGTGTGGGAAATAATGCAGATTTTATGTCGTGCCGTGGCCGCATTGAACCTCTACATCCTGAAACGTCAATGGAATGGCTGCGGGAAAACCTGAAGAAAGTTACGGCCATTTTCATTTTTTTAATAGCTCAAGCTCACTCTAGATCATGATCATCCATCGTCACTTTTTTCATCCTTTTTCCCGTTCCGTGAGAGGAAAATCCTTACAATCTACCAACAACATGTATGATTTCTAATTTTATATCTCAGAACAAAACCAAGCGAGGTGGAGCTGGAGGCAGGAGAAACAGAGAAAAGCGTCAAAGGATTGAAGCTATGCTTCAGCAGCTTTCTGGTGCGCTGAACAACTCCGGTGGTGCGGAGGCACATGATAGGGACAGCATTGTTGGAGCAGAGAGGCAAATCGGAGCTGACGCAACATCCTCGAAACAATTCCGCATCTATTTCATTTCGGAACTGCAGTTGGCCTTCATCGTGATCAACCTGCCTCGTGTCCGATACGTGTGCCCCTGGGAACTTTTTCCGGCGACAGACAAGAACATTTACGCGCCCTCTCGTGGTCGACGTTCTTGCACAACCGCATCTACCGAGAAGAAACGAGTACTCTCCTATTACTCGAGCGTTTTTCTCTATGGACCCGGTGGCTCTTCGCGAAACATCAGAGACGAGCAGCATTCTTCTGGGCGAGAATACGGCGAGGAGGACGGCCCATGGGACAGTGACGACGACCATGAACAAGAGGGCGATCACGAATATGACCATCTTAGTGGAGAGGACTTTTTCAGCTCTATAATTGACAATGACCAGCGTTTCCCAGCATTCTCTTTTCGAGCCAGGAAAAGAACTGCAGAAGCGACCAGGCAAGATCCTGAGGAAGAAGTTGATCCAGTGATACGTATTTCAGAGCCTTATCGTGGAATATGCTTTTCACGTGCGCGCCGCCTTCTGGAGGGATGGACATCGGCTCCCAGTGCTTTGCCGCCGCTGTCTCTCGAGAGCCACGCTTTGCTGCCTTGTACTAGTGAAGACGGAGCTATTATTAGGTGTCCACGTGACGGATTGTTCCCGGCGTTACCGTGGAGCTTGGACGTGATTGTCGTACCGGATCACTACTCGTCTTTGCATGACGCGGTTGCGGCGGTACCCAAAGACGAGCCCTTTGCTCGTATCATTGTGCGCACTGATCAGGAGCTTTGTGAACCGCTTTTGATAGATCGGCATGTTCTTATCGAAGGGTGGCGTCGCTCATCTCCGATCCGGTTCTACTCGCGAGATACGCAGAAGACAGCAGCCTCATCACCATCAACCTCGTCAAGCTCGGGACCAACTCTTGTGCGGATTGTGCAGGGGGGTGAGCGCTCATGGTTCAAAAATATTTCGATTTGTGACCAAGAATTATTTTTGACGGATGATTTTTGTGAAGGAAAAGGAATCGGAGGTGAAGAGTCCTCTTCTGATACATCAGAGCGACAGGCCGCTTCTGCCATTCGAGCAACAAAACCGTTAGTGGAGATCTTTTGTGGACATTTGACAATGGGACAATTGCATGACGATTGCGATGATGTCGGTGTATCTCTATCGGCTGATGCTACTATGGGTCCTTTTTTCACTGGGTGTCACTTTGTACGGGATAAAAACTCGTGGAATGATCAAGAGGTAGTAGACTCTGGAGCAGGAGGTGCGGCACGACCACCACCACGTGCAAGCACAGATATTTCAGCTTTCGATATCGTTTCTGGCGGCCCGCGGGTCAGCGTAATGGCCCGCTCAATGGAGGAGTTTGGAGCGCTTATCGATTCTTTTTCCTTTCATCGCCCAGAAAAGTTTGAATATGAAAACGAGCACCTTCGCAATTGGGAAAACTTGTGGCGGCCAAAGAGAAAGGGTGCCAATTACAGATCACAGCGGCAGGCAGAGAAGCGTCTCAATTTATTCAAAAGACTGTTTGCCGATGATGAGACTGGAGAAGTTCGGCGAATCCTGTTAACAGAGACGGCGATTGCAAGCACTGAACTCTGCATCAAAGTGCTGTCGTCAACGGATACACCTATATTACGCGAGGGTGATGAGTTGCTAGCGGTGACGTCGCCGAGCACAACTGAAAGTGTGGCTTCTTCAACTGCCGGTGAGAATGGTCTAAACGAGTGGACATTTGCTTTTCTGCAATCTTACGCGAAGTATATCTTTTCGGACGATTGGGACTTCGAAAAAGATTTAGAGCTAGTTCGTGGAGCTGGAGGACGTAGTCAAAAAAACAAGGACAATCATAAGGAAAAGGAACACGACGTTGGACCAAACGAGCGTTGGGCGTACGCGCCAACTTTATTCTTACCTCTCACTTTTACATTCCGGTGTAGGTCTCTTTCTCCGACTAATATGCCCACGACGAGTGGTTCTCGCATGCAACCTCCAGCGCCTGTGTTTCACCGATGCAATTTTGAAAATATCAAGATAGGAATGCTGTATGATTGCGAGGGCCGGCAAAAGTCGAGTAAAAACATCCCAGGTCGTGATGTTGATGGTGCTAAAAATTCTAAGGCCAAACCAACGTTACCATCACCTCCAACTGCACCCTCTCCCTCATCCTTCTCCAGTTTTCACTTCTGTAAGTTCTCGGATTCGTCCGTTGTCTGTCCGGCTTCCGCTGTGAATCCCAGGCTACAGTTCGATCATTGTGACTTTCGCCGTTTCAGCAGGACTTTTCGGCTCATTCTCGGAGCCCTTTCCTTTCCAGTAGGACTCGTGACCAATCTTGGCCCTTCAGGATTATTCAAGCTGTTGCGCTGTAGATTTTCACCTTGCGAAGACGACACTGACGAGGAGAAGGAGAAGATTAGAAAGGATGACTATTCGCAGTCATACGATTTGGTACAGTCATCGAAGCACTTGCATTGTTTTTCGCCGTTATGTCAGTATCCACAATGGATAGTGCAAAGGTCCACTGATATTAGTCTTCAAGGTTCTTCAACATCAACATCTGCTGGCGGTGAACGAGGACAATTGCCAACAAGCAAAGGACGGGGGCGCAGTGCCTCTAGCATTTGTTTACCGAGTTTCTACACGGAAGACCATTCGACCCTGCGAAACGTCATCTTTTCCGAAGTTTAACTGAGAGCAACAGCTCTTATGGTTTCAAGATGGTTGTACTGCCAACTTCCTTTTACTTAGCAGACCAAAATCTTCAACATCGATCCCTTTCCATTCCACACGTTTTTTCAGTGAGCCGTTATTTTCAACATAACGAGGCATCTGCAAATTTCTTGACCTTGATGGTCGTGTTCCTGCTCATGCCGAGGTGACATTGACACACTACTCGCCAGTATTCATCTTCAGACGAGGTTATAAAAATGAGTCACGATAGTACAGCGGAGAAAGTGGTACTGGCGGTTGAAGCACAATATACTTAGCCGGGAGCGGGAGGACATTATAACATTTTTGATACATCGAGAAAGTTTCGCCATCCGTGGTGAAAAAGATGTTAGGTGAGTTAAAGGCACTGGCACATCACTAATCGAAAACAAAACTGTAGTAGTTCTCACACGCATACGAGCGAAGGCGTTGATGAAGAACACGAGTTGTAATAGAGGGCGTGTTGAGTAGCCTAGGAGTCGCACATATTAATGAAAAGAACTACAAGTAGGCAACGTCGGGCTCAGTAAATGTTGATGACAGCGATGAAGACTTGTGTGAAGGACTAGATGGGTTGAAGGAGTGGCCTTGCACTTGCGCGTTTACACTTAAAACAAATGTCGGTTTTCGTCGGTGCGGCGGCCGTAGTCGAGGAAGAGTGCGGACCGCCTTCGTCACACTACGATGGGGTGGTGACCGACACGGCCGACGGCGTAAACAATCCTACGAGGTCTACGGGGATCGCAAACAACGGCACCGGGACATCTTCAATCTCTCGGAGCTTGCTAAGTGAGGCAGAAGCTAGTCAATTGAGTGCCGCTCTAGTGCGGTTACACTCGCACAACAAGATTCTGGCCTATGAGCATGCTAAACAGCAGAACGAGCTCCACGCATGGAAGGTACGGGCGTCAGAAGGGGGCTCACTTCTTGCTGGTGGCCGTGCAAGTAATCGGGAGGACCGAGGTGAATTCTACCTACACCAGGAGGAACAAGAAGATGACATTGACAATTCAATCTCAATTCCACCTCTCCGGAGCCAAAGTCTGGGCTCAACATCGCAGAAATCTGCGAAGACGCGAACAAAAAGCACGGCGCCTTCTGCTAGCGACCATCTACCACCGACAAGTACGGGAGATGCAAGTGACCATGGAGCCGCAACAACTACGATGGACGACTCAGTCGTCTTATGGAATCAAATTGATAGTTCGTGTTTGATCCAGCAGTCCTCATCTTTACAGCATTCGTCGGCACATCATGATAATGCGTCAACAACGACACGACCTCTAGCGGATCATAGGGGATCTCGTCCTCCAACAGGCCTCCTTGGAGCTAGTTATCAATTCGGAGGTAGCAGCAGCTCTACTTCAGCACAACATCACAAAAGTGTTACATTCAGAGAACACCAGAGTCCACAAAAAGAGGTACTAGATAGGTGGGTGGGGTCGAAGACTACGTCCGAGCAAGGTGGAGATGGGCTCCTTCTAGAAGATCTTCAACATCCAAGAACTAGAGGTACGCCTGTGGATACCGCCTCATCAAGGTGGACTCCAGCAGACGAAGATAGAGATCGTGAACATTCGCATTCATCCTCTCCTCGAAACAACTACAACACTTCTGTGATAAAAAATAAGAAACTCGAAGAACTACGTGAAAGCCATCAGAGCATGTTGGAGATGCAAAGGGCAGCGCTTCTTACCCTGTGGTCCACATGGACATGTCGGAATCACGCCAGACGACTCCAACGTCTTGCGTTTCGTTGCTGGCACCAAGAAGCGTGTTGCGCGAGTAGAAATTTAAAACGAATACGGAAAGAGGCAGCTGAACAGATGACGCAACTGAAAGACAGACACAGGACGGAGATGAAAGAACTAGGTATGGCTATCATGAAAAAGTAAAGCGAAAATGAATAGATGCAGATTTCGTGCATTTTTGTACTCCAAAGCATCTTCTTCATCTTTGCATACAAGATGACAAAGCTTAGCTCTAATTCAACAGCGAGAAGCGCACAACAGACTGCTGATGTGGAAACCGCCTGGCGAACCGAAACAGCCATTGCCACAGCACAACAGCAGGATGCGTACCAAGGTAGAGCTTTGGACATCTTCAACAGTTTGACGCTTCATCTACGTTCCACTTCGCGGACTGCTGTACACGGACAGCTGCGCCAGATACTCAGTCACTGGCGTAACCAGGCGATGGCACGAAGACACTTGCTGGATTTGTGTCATGTGAACCGTCAGCGCGACGCAGACCGCAAACTCTCGAAGATGTTGCGTCTTCGACCGTGTTTTTATGGTGACTGAAGGTCTTGTTGAGCGTTTCATCGTCTTGATATCTTCACTTTGTATGTTCATTTAGTTCATCTACAGTAGTTGCTCTAGTTCATCTATTTACTTATCTATTATACAACTCTATTAACTCAAGGTACGCAATGTTGATCTGAATCTTCTTCTTCAAACACTTCTAATTCCCTGCCAGTTGGCGTCACCACGCAGCAAAACTCCGAAATTCCGGTCGATCAGTCCGTAATCGTGATATCGAGAGCACGAACCTCTCACGCCGGCATCTTCTGGGGCCTGTGTGGCGCGCATGGCGCTCTTATTTTCGCCGAGTTCAGGCATTTTGGACTCGATATTTCTTTATCCGCCGACATAGAAAACGCGAGCTCCTGCCCAAAGTCCTTCACACTTGGGCAGGTTGTGTGCGGGAGGAACGGTTGAACACAGAAGTTACAAAGTTGGATGAGGAAAACAAGAAGCTTGTTGCGGATGTTGAAGAGACCAAGAAACTTCTCACGCAGGTGGAAGAGCAGGAGAGCAGAAGAGTGCAAGAACTTGTAGCTCTGGAACAACAGCACCGATATATACAACAAAACAACAATAACCACATCACAAGAACCTTCATCCAGACGAGGCCGACTTCTAACAACTACACGACCATGACAATATTACCCGGTGCACAAGACCATCGAGAAAAGCACCAGATGACCATTCCAGCAACGTCTACGTTGAGACTCCTTGCTCGCAGTGACTGTGATAACGTCAGCATACATCCAAGTGAAGGCGAAATCTTCGACCTTAGTAGAGGTGGAGCTGCTCCGATTCCATCAAATTTTGCGGACAACGGCACCACTATAGGGCAAATAGCTGAAGCCACCGGTCGTAGAACAGATTCACTTCTGACCCCTTTGATGAATCGATATGGCGTATTCCGACCTGCCGAAATAGAGCCTGCTCTTGCGGGAGGCGCAACAAGTGAACAACAAGAAATGTCGCCTCATTCTCATGTTGATCAAGGTGATGAAGTACAACATGATGATCATGACCATGTTATTCAAGAAACACTACAAACACTACACGAAGATGAAGCCAACGAGAATGAACAAGGCCTTCTTTCAGTGGTATCACAAGATCATCATGCTGACCGAGAGGACGCAGATCTCCACATCAGAGGTCACTTGCATGCGCATATACTGTCCAGTACCATCGATAAAATGCAAAGAGGACTTCGACTACAGGCTATGGCAATAGCGTTTCGGCGGCTGCATCATCAAAAAGAAAAACTGGCTTTTCGGTGCAACTACGGACAGATGCAGATCGAGAATTTCGTTTAAGACTGAGTCAACAACAATTGTTCCAACGCTTCGTTGCTACTAGTAAAAACGTTACTCCTAGTTCCAAAAAGTGAAAGTATGTGTTGCTCATGACCCAGTTTTCTTGCTATGAGTTTCGGAAACTCTGTCCGAATTTCATCTGAAGACTATAAAATCTGTTTCTGCTCTAATTCGCCTCTCGCAAGCGCTTCAAAGACTTGCGACGAACCTTTGAAGCATTCGTAGCGCACCAGCGACGTAGTGGAAAATTCTATGCTTTACGGTTTCGTGCGCTCTTGCGTACCCAGAGACAGCTTTTCAGCGGGTGGCGAATAGGCACAGTTGCTAGGCGCGAGGTCGCTTGGAACGAAGCGGCGCTTCAAAGAAGAGATACGTTGGCGAAGGAGGTTGAGTTACGATGAATGGTGGTGGTTCTGGGTCTTTATTGTTCTTAAGTATAATGCAGTTCCTTTTAGTCACTTGCTATTTGTATCTGATGAAGATTTGCATTTACTGCTGCCTTCTACTTGTTTGATGTGGCCTGCTCAGCTGGCTTCTCGGTCGTTTGTCCTCTTCTAACCCAAGCCTTCGTCATTTCCAAGCAGAAACTGCAAGAAGAGAAGCTGGCTCGCGCTGTCCTCCACATTTGGCAGAGTGGGAATAGTGAACTCAGAACGCGTTGTGCGTGTTTCGTGCGTCTGATTCAGTTAAGGCTAGTATCTCAGCAGAAGAATCCTTAGCGCCATCCTTCCTACCTTGGGATTGTGTTTTTTTTCAACGGAGAAAAGGGAAAAGGCTCAGAATCCCCGCCCACGCGGTTGTAGAAGCTCTAATCCAGCGCATCATAGGCGAAAAACAACGCCAGCAAACAGGGAACGCATTTTGGACTTTGAAGCATAGTGGAATCCGCCAAGTCGTCCGCGATTTAGAAAAGAGCTGTTGCACACTAGCGGGATTCGACAAACTGAAAAATCTCGTGAAAATGAAAAATAGAGCATGGATGGGGGCAGGTATTTTAGCCTCTGGAAGATAGATCTTCGTGGATGGGAGCAGGTAGAGATGATAGTGATGAGATTCCTTCAGGCATCTACTTGACGTTGACTACCTCCGCATATGTTGTATCAAAAATAAACTAAAACTACAACATGCACGTTGGCGTTGACCTCGCACACACTGGATATGTCGATCCATCTCAAATTTCCTCTCGAAATTCAGCACTCCTGCGGCTCCGCGCGTGCAGCTTCGGCACTGTGGTACGGAGACTGGACATGAGCTGTCAACTAGAGGTAAAGCAGATAGCACAAGAGAAGAGGAAACTGGATTATGGCCATCCGGGTTAATTTTTAATTTTATACAATGTCGCACGAGTTGTAGAAGTAGGATTAGTATTGTAGTTGTTGTTGTAGATCTGTGTTGTACTTGTATTTGAGAATGAGCATGTATGTTTAAAGCTACAGGAGATAATTCATATTCATTTTCTAATTCCCAGCCCTCCTAGACTCGCAGCAACTTGCCTTTCGTGAAGAACAAGCGCGTACGGAAACGGAGAAAACAGCTGTTTTGGCAACACGCATCGAGGAACTGGAGAAGGCTGTGGTGTCAAAAACAACCGAGCTTGAAAGCCTAGAAACGGAGAGTGGTCTCGAAATAGCGAGATTAGAAAGTAGTTTGAGCGAGGCCGCTGCACAACGAACAGCTCTCGAATACAAACATGGGGAGGAAAAGGCAATTCTGAGAAGGGAGAATGTTAAGGATGGGGATTTCAATTTCATAGTTCGAAGGGTAAGTCCAAACTAGTCTGGAACTACAAATTTGTGGATTAAACTGTACTGTTGATGATCACTCAACATATTCTGCTTATTTCAAGTTTCAAGTTCAACACCAGCATATCATCAATTTTCTCTAAAACCGAGACCTTCAAGGAGCAAGCCCAGCAACAACTGCAAGATTTGCAATTGGCGATTGCTGAAGAGAAAGCATTGCTTTTGCAGGCGCTCGAAAGCGAGAAGGGAAGGTCTGCAGCGTCAATACAGGACGTAGAGTGGCAGTGGCACGCAGAGCATGAGCGTCTGGTTCAAGAAGCGCACACAGCAAGAGAGGAATCCAGACGGATGCAGGAAGAGAAAGAGTCATTGCTTTTATGAGGTGCTGTACGAGAAGTGAAGATTTTTATAGTCACCAGCCTGGTACTATCATTCAAGGTCGTCATCTTGATCTTACTTTGTATGGTTCTGGTATTTGGTAACCTGAATTTGATCATAAGGGTTCTCTTCTTGTTTTCCCTTATGATCAAATTCAGGCTACCAAATACCGGAACCATTCAGCAAGGTCGTCATCTTGATCTTACTTAATTAATAACGGTCATCCACGACCAACATCACTCGAAGCAGATGACAGTTTTACTTCCGCTTTTTTAGACTTTTTTGCAGCTCCTTCCGACCATGGTAGAGTTAAATGCGTCTGTCACTACAAAATCCCCTTTCATATACCCTGAAATTGGAGCACCAGCAAGAGACCGAGGCTTCTCTTCGACGTAGTCTCGAGGAATATTGCAACGTACAGGAGGTCGCCCACACTCGAGTTACTTGCGAAAGCGAGAACCTCATGCATCGGGTCAAAGCGTTGGAGAAACAACTGGTAGAAGAGCGTAAACGCTTCGAACAGAGTCAGGAAGTTGTCCTGTCGCAGTCTCAAGAACTCTGTCGCATGGCGCAACAACAGATGCTGGCGAGAAGTAAACCGACTAAGAAAGCCAGTGCAGGACGGTTAAGGCTCGTACTAGAGTTAATTCATCTTTGAATGCGTGTCTCATAAAAAGGATTGTCCTGAATTACAGGAAAGCTGCAAATGCACGACTGCTTCAATGTTGGAGTACAATGAATTAGAGAGGACGAATCTAAGACGAGGTCGCAGCATTGGCGTACCTGGTAGCAGGGTGCAATCTTTTCGAAAGCCTGGTGAGTTTCATAAGGGATCAGCTCCTCCACCCCCAGTGGTGCAACAGCCGGGTATTGTAGTTGTGCAAAAAGATGTAGATCAGTCCGCTTTGGGAATCGGTATGCCGCAGGAGGAACGACAACATCAACAGGAGCCGCATCAGCGTTCTTACGTTGCGCCACCATTAACATCTTCTGTTGCACCTAGTAATACTACGCGTGTGGTAGCTGTCTCGTCCGGTGATCCTCGCTCCTCTTCACCAGTCAGAAAGCACCAGCCGGTGAAACAGCCTCCCAAGCCTCAAGTTACTTCCACTGCAGGCACAGCTCCACTGAGTCCCCCAACTACTCGCAGGGCTGCAAATGTATATCCGCCTAGCCGCTCAAGAAGTGTTGCGAGTAGTGCGTCGAGAAGACGCGGAGGTCCTCTAGATGCGAAAAGACAGCGGCCACGGTCCTTTCTTTCTTCAGGTAGCAGCATGGTGTCGTCTCCATCTCCAAAGAGAAATAACTCACACTCCACGTCTGTGTCTGTCGGTCGTCGGAGAGCAAACTCATCGATATCTCCACGAAAAAAAGCCATAGTGTTTGATGCTGATTCGGGCCGCGTGGAAATCGCATCACGACGCGTTTCAAGTACTCTTAGGACCCGCAGTGGTCTTGATAAGGGGCCATATTCAAGGACATCCTCCCAACATAACTCGCCTAAAAAGAACCTTGGGCAACAAGTTCAAGCCCTCTACGGATCAAGTCCGTTGCGAAACAGGACAGCAACCCTACTGGCCCAAAGCAGTAAACAAAGACTTGAGCAGCAGCACAAGAACTTTTTGACAAGCACTATATCAAGTCGTGCACATCAAGATCATCAACAGCAGAACAGTGGATCCTTGCGTCAATCTCGAACATCTGAAAGATCGCACTCGCCTTTTCACATGCCCAAAAGGCATCAGGCACAAGAAGAGAGGCCTCGAAGTCGAGGGACGCGAAGTCGAGGGGACAGTGGAGCAAGCAACTCAACACTCCTATCTTCGATACATCCTCTGTTATGGAACTCAGTCTGTACTTTTGGCTCTTGAAAGAGAGCACGACCTAGTATATCATCTACATGCGAAGATATAGAAGGAGTTAGATGTGAATCGATCATGACAGTTAGATATAGAAGGAATTAGATGGGAATCGATCATGACAATTTTTACCTCGAGCTACTTAGGCACATTCATTCATTCATTCACTCATTCAACAAATCTCTAATCCTTGCAAGCATGATTGGTGGAAGAGGAGCTCCGGATCCACGAAAAGGAGGCCCAGAAAATAAGACGACGAAAGGAGCAGGCTTTCTCAATTCTTCGCTAGCCATCGCGAGGTCGGCTAGTAATGTAGGAGGCGGTGGAAATTTAGTCAGTACTGCTCGTGGTACGTCTTATCGCGGACCCTTCCGGAAATGAATACTTGCTGAGTTGGTGTTCTTGTGGTAGAAGTACTGTATATATTAGACGTGGGGCTGACAGGACCACGACAGCGCCGGCGCTTATTTAGTAGTAGATAAGTTCTTGCCTGACCCTTCTTTTTTAGGTTTTGTCTAGTTAGGTATGCTCCACCAACATACCTTAGACATGATATTTAGATACAACAACGCATTATTCATCAACTTGCAACAGATGGTGGTCTACACAAGTTAAAGCGCGTTAGAAAATATTATAAATCGTTCCAGGAGTAAGACGGAAACTAGCACCAGTGATTTGAGTTTGCAGCATCATTTTGATGATTTGGTTTAGTCAACAACAACCATACTGGATTTGGAACTCAACGCAACCCCAACGAGCCTATCAAACAAGTACAAGCTGGTCCCTAGAGGACTAGAAGCAACAACTGGCGGAATGAATCCTGGGAGTAGTACTAGTAGCAGAATAGAGACTAAGACTAGTTAAGACATCAAACACATGATCATCACCTCGACGGCATCAAATCCTTTTTCTCAAAGCGAATAAAAGACATTACTGCAAACCCCGGTATTGACAAAAAGTTACGACATGAGCACGACAACGACAAGGTGGTCAAGAATGATTTCTTCTACATTGTCTTTAACTTTAGAGTCATCTCCTGTTGGTGACTTGACGATTCCTGAGTGTGACAGGAGCAGCTTCTTCAATCGTGCGACTCGTCGTCACAGCACAGAATCGGTCGCCCAGTTGACTGTGCATTAAAGTATCAACGACAAACTTAGAAAAGTTCTGCATAAGAAGCACCTCCTTTGGGTTTCGGTCAAGTCGGTCAAAAATAGTGCATGAACCAAACTAAAACGTGGCTCTGCTTCGTCTCTTGTATCTTCTGGGTACCTAATGAGGTAAGATTATCTAGCTGTATTTTCGATAATTGTCTTAATATCCTCCTGTCCTAGCCACCCTCCTTGTCCTTGCTGAATAGCACGCGGATGCAGCCTACAACTCACGCGTAAACGAAAAAAGGTGCAGTCTCAAAAGAACATCGACAGGCACAGAAGATGCTAGTATTGGACAGGACAAGTTTCGAACGGGTGAGATGAGGAGATCCTCGCCACAGGAGAATAAACGCCAGAGGAGTCTACCAGAAGTAGTGAAGTTCACGACGATCGTAGTCCAGCTGATGCACCGGGTGAAGCGAGCCTAGTACAACTCTTGCTACAACAGAAAAATGACGAGAAGAATGATTACGAGGTCGCGATTCTCAGAATGTGCTTCGGCATTATACATATACTAGGGTTAGACTGGATCGCCTTTACTGGGACAACTTCTAGTTCAAGAGAGTTACTCTCGAGAACAGCTTGACGAGGATGGCGATTTCGGAGATCGATCAAAAGAACGCACTTTTTAGCAGCCCTTTATGAAAAGGGAAATATAATCATCCAAATCCCATATTATATGGGACCCATAAGATGATTGCCAAAGAAGTTTTGATTTAGATTTTGTTTCGCAAAGACTTTAGACGTTGATGTTATTGATGTTGAGGTAACGTTGGATTTAGATGATTCCGCATCTTGATAGCTGACCCTTAGAGTTTCCTTGAAGATGTAGTTCCCAGTACTAAAACTCGAGAGTATCCCAAGCTAAATTCAATTGACTACAAACAGCTACCCTTGGAATCATACGATAGGATGGAGGATCTGAAGCTTTTCTTAAGATAGAGCGCCAGCGCCTACTTTTTTACTAGTGTACGTAGTTTTACATGAAGTCGGATCGAGAATTTAGAAATGCTTCTACTTCATCCTCCTCACGTGGAAGTCTATTTAGACGAAAAGATGTTTGGGTTCCGAGCTCCTGACAACTGATCAATTGTTCCTACTTGCAATTTTCATTGATCACAATAGAGCAGTAGCATCTCCACGATCTGGAATCTTTAGATTGTCTGCTGGAAAAGAATGAAAATCGATCTTCGCTCCACGAGAACAAACGCTGCTGTGAAAAACGATCTGAACTTTACCGTGTCTCGTGCGGTCCTTCACGTCTCCACTTGCGGAGAAAGTGATCATATACAAAAGATCTACGATGTAAATGGGCACCTGCTGGTGATGTTAGATATCCCTGTGATCTGCTATACTTGTATCTCTATGATGTTCAAATCATTTGATCGTGACGAAAACGACGCTCCGATCCAAAGAGAGAAGATATTCACAACGAAAAGTGAAGATCTAAATTTTTGAAGCTCTTAGAAATAGAAATTAAAGTGTATCCGAAGATCAGACAATGCGACGATTTCTAAATTTTGAGCCGGTCTTCATCTTCTGTCGGAATAAACCGAAGCCCATGCTTCTTCACTTGAGTAACTAGTACGTTACATTTAATTCCATCTTTCCTGTTACTAAGTCGACTTTATCCTTTGTAAAAAAAATTCTTCACCAGGGAACCTAAGTACGAATTCCAAAACTCTTCTAGAGTGGAACTTCGTGGTCGTTTAGATCCTAAATCCGTGAAAATGGCTGAACGTTATTTGGTTGGTGAGACCGTTGCCCCGGCTGGCATGGTCGTCCCGGAAGGACTCAAGAAGAAGATCGAGCGCAATGGTGCTCTTTTGAAGGCCAAGAAGGAAGCCCTCGCTGACATCAAGAAGCAGAACAAGGTCAAGCGTCACGATTTGAAGCTCCGTGCCTCCAAGTACGAGAAGCAGTACCGCAATGACGAGAAGCGCCTGATCGCTCAGCGCCGATTGGCTAAGGCTACTGGTATTTTTAAGGACCACAAAGAAAGCTGATCAAAAGCATGAACCTGAAATCTAAAGATGGAAAGGATTTTGCTTTTGGTTGTTGCGTGTTGATTTAGGTTCTGGACTTCCCGTAGAAATTTCGTATATAGGGAATTTAGCGTTGTATCTTAGTTTTGGATCGTTCTAGAAGGAGAGAACATCTTCACTGTGTCTCTCATTTGTCCCATAAAAACACCTAAAACAGCCATCTTTCTCCTATCCACCCCTCTTTGTTCTGCCCCGAAACCACCATCTTCTCCCACCCGACAGGTAACTTCTTCGTCGAGCCGGAAGCCAAGATGATGTTCGTGATCCGTATCACCGGTATCAACAAGATGGCTCCGAAGCCGCGTAAGATCTTCAAGCTCCTCCGTCTGGATCAGCTCCACAAGGTACTATTGCCTCCTAAACAAGACTACTCTGTCCTAGAATCGGTTTGGGTTTCGACTCCACTCCGCCATCATGATTCTTGAATAAAGCCACTTAGAAAATCGCATGTGGTTGTAGTAGTATGAAAGCTGGATAATTTAGATTCTGTACTCCTCGCTGCCTTTCCGTCCACCCATCCTGATTTGTCCGCCACTCATGTCACGTAGTTTGGAAGTTTCTATCATTTGGCATTACCTAAGATTCCTTCCTCCACAAAACTCCAACAGGGCGTCTTCGTCAAGTGCACCAAGCCGATGATGAACATGCTCAAGTGCATCATGCCGTATGTTGTTTGCGGTTACCCGAACTTGAAGACCGTCAAGAACCTCGTCCTCAAGCGCGGTTACGGACGTGTCAACAAGCAGCGTCTCCCCATCCAGGACAACGAGATGATCTCCGCTGCCCTCGGACAGTATGGCATCCACGGCGTCGATGACCTCGTTCACGAGATCTTCACCGTCGGCCCGAACTTCAAGCAGGCCAACAGCTTCTTGTGGGCCTTCAAATTGTCCTCCCCGAATGGCGGATGGGTCCTGAAGAAGCACGGATTCCACGAGCCGAAGGGCGGAGACTGGGGTAACCGCGAAGAGCTCATCAACGAAATCGTGCGTCGTATGATGTAAGCCGGAGGCAAGAGGAGACCCATCTTCTACAACTACTTGTTACTCGCTGTAATATAGTAGACGGACAACTTCAACTACTCATAGTGGAGACGGTTGTTGTGATGACCAACTATGAAGCATGAAGACGGACAGACGCTGATACACCACTTTGAAGAGGGTCTCATTTTTAGATAAGTTTGGGTAGGTGAAAACCTCAAACATGAACAAATCGAGAATGACACCTTTTGACGACTCGAAACGTGTTATCAGCTAGTGCCATACCATATTGACGGATGATCTAAACTTCAAAAGAAAGTCAGCCTGTGCGGTTATCGACAGGTGCGGAACACCTGCGACGCGGGTGTTGTCCATGCGAGGGGCGTGGTTCCTGTATGCGTTCGATGCTTCCGTTAACAATTTACGTGTGGTTAACGTCCAAAGATCTTGTCAGAGAGCGCGAGAGACTGTTTAGAAAAGAAAGCAAGAAAAGAGAGTCAAGCGTCGGTCCCTCTAAATCGCAAGCGAAAAATCTTGTCTGAATCCGAAAGAGGCGAATGACTGGTGGAGAATGCAAATCGCGCCATCTCTCTGATTGAATGAAGCAGTCACCAATCACATCAGTATCTAGTGCCAGCACGACCAGTTTCACTCGAAGTCTCATTATCCTCGTAAACTTTTTTCTCGAGCTAAGGTTGCGATCTCCTGGCATCATCCACTATCTTCACCAAACGTGACGAAAGAAAGTTCAGGGCGCCGCGTGTCAGCAGATGGCATCTCTATGAGATCGCATCTATATTATTGTCATTTTTTTATTAACTAGAGTTCTTCTATCAGTTTCCATCATGACATCTTCTTGAATCGTTTGTCTCACCGCCGTCCGTACTTTTCGTTTGTTTCTTAATCTGAAACAAAAAGATGTCCGGTGTCCATTCCGATGACGAGCCGCTTGTGCCGGAACAAGTCGGCGGAAGTTCGTCTTCTTCCAAAGCACAAGCCAAAGCAACTACAACCGAGCGTGCGCCAGCCTCACCTGTCAGAAAGAGCAAAAAAGGCGGTGAAATCGAAGTGGAAGAGACAATAACAAGTGCAGCTGTACGACCGAAAGCAGCAGCTACACCGTCCAGAGGAAAAGCGAGTAAAAAAGATGCAGCAGCAGGTGATCGCTCCTCCGTAGAAGAGATAGAACTACCAAAGCTACCCGAAGCTGTTTTTCCACCTGCCGAAAGGCTGCTGCCAATCCATACAGGCAATGACGACCTCTGCATGTGCGATTTGGTACAAGAGCATTGATTTGAGCAATCCTTCCTCATGTAGGTGAACCGCAAGTCCTTCCTGTTGGATGTATTTCTAGTGGTCGCAAACAAACGAGATTATCTCCGCAACTACATCCGTAGTCTCAATCAACTCCTCTCACAGGAAAATCAACCCCTCTCACAGGAAAATCAACCCCTCTCACAGGAAAATCAACCCCTCTCACAGGAAAATCAACCCCTCTCACAGGAAAATCAACTCCTCTCATAGGAACCATATTCCACAGACGCAAAACGAAGGGAGAACTCTCCAGCGAGAGCTGCGAATGGGTGGTCAACAGCCCCCAAGCGAAGCGGTGGCATAGAAAAGAGACAGTCCCTCATATCCGATATTTTATCGAGGTGGTGGTATGTTTTTCCGCAGTGGCCAGCACCGGATCACGATTACTCGCAAGCACTCGCGAAGAAAGGTAGCTTATTTTTGGCTAGTGTGGTCACTATGAGTTTCTTCTTCTGTATAAAAGAAGAAGATTATCATGTTCAGGCACAACTACTGCTCGATATTTTTGTCGACTAATACTCCAACCAAAGTAGCTCTTCTTTCTTACCTGGGGATGTCCACCTTGCCTTCCCCCTCTCCTCCTCTTATAAAGAAAGGAAATGTGATAATCACTCTCCACCCTCACGGAGCAAGGAGAAGAACGACATGATAAGTACATTCTCGTCTCATCGCTTGGCGGTACATTCCACTTCAAATGGAATTGATGCCGGTCACATGAAGACGCAAACCGAAGTCGTTGGATTAAACACAGACAGCGCCTTTTCTTTCATGGCATTCTCTGCACCTGTCTCCAACCACAATTTCTCATCCGAATGTGAAGATCTCTGGACCTGGATCTAATGTATTTGTTTGAAAAAGATCCGTCATTGCGGAAGCATATATCGTCTCGACGCTTGGCGGTGAGTCACTTCTAGTAGGCTAACACCGGTCACATGCAGACGAAGAGAAAGCATCAATTGTAACGGGGGCTGCGCAGCTTGTTCGCGTGTTGCCAGCCCCATCCAACATTGATGACACTGAATTTTTTGCGGTTTTGCCTTACAGCAGCAGCGCCTGGAGTTATGGTAGCCTCTTGCTAGGCCTCCTGTCGTCTCGACGCTTGGCGGTGAGTCACTTCTAGTAGGCTAACACCGGTCACATGCAGACGAAGAGCAAGCATCAATTGTAACGGGGGCTGCGCAGCTTGTTCGCGTGTTGCCAGTCCCATCCAACATTGATGACACTGAATTTTTTGCGGTTTTGCCTTGCAGCAGCAGCGCCTGGAGTTATGGTAGCCTCTTGCTAGGCCTCCTGTCGTCTCGACGCTTGGCGGTGAGTCACTTCTAGTAGGCTAACACCGGTCACATGCAGACGAAGAGCAAGCATCAATTGTAACGGGGGCTGCGCAGCTTGTTCGCGTGTTGCCAGTCCCATCCAACATTGATGACACTGAATTTTTTGCGGTTTTGCCTTGCAGCAGCAGCGCCTGGAGTTATGGTAGCCTCTTGCTAGGCCTCCTGTCGTCTCGACGCTTGGCGGTGAGTCACTTCTAGTAGGCTAACACCGGTCACATGCAGACGAAGAGCAAGCATCAATTGTAACGGGGGCTGCGCAGCTTGTTCGCGTGTTGCCAGTCCCATCCAACATTGATGACACTGAATTTTTTGCGGTTTTGCCTTGCAGCAGCAGCGCCTGGAGTTATGGTAGCCTCTTGCTAGGCCTCCTGTCGTCTCGACGCTTGGCGGTGAGTCACTTCTAGTAGGCTAACACCGGTCACATGCAGACGAAGAGCAAGCATCAATTGTAACGGGGGCTGCGCAGCTTGTTCGCGTGTTGCCAGTCCCATCCAACATTGATGACACTGAATTTTTTGCGGTTTTGCCTTGCAGCAGCAGCGCCTGGAGTTATGGTAGCCTCTTGCTAGGCCTCCTGTCGTCTCGACGCNCTCGTCTCGACGCCCGGGCAGTCTCTTTCAGTAGTCTAGCGCCGGTTTTTACATGAAGACGAAAATCAAACATCACTTGTAACGGGGGTTGTGCGACTTGCCTGTGTGTTGCCAGCCCCATCCAACATTGATGACATTTCTGCGTTATGACTTTTTACCTCGTCGGTCCATGCCCTTCCCCTTTATTAGAACATGGAGGTCGAGACTCAGCGTCAGTAAGACTGACCTTGTTCTTTCTTCCCTGCTAGGTTACCGCGAAGTTCCCGTTACGGATTGGACGAAAGAGAAGGAGATTGACGAGGATGGACTCCATAAGGTTTATCAGTTGAAGCAATTTCCGGGAATTTTTAGGGACGCCAACCAGATCCGCATGGACATGAGACCGGTAAAAAGCTGTCCGTGCTTCTTGAATCTGCAAGCGAAGCCGATCGATCAACTCGTAAAGTGGCTCAAGAGAGCGTATTGCTACGATTTTCATGATTTGATGCTTTGCTTTTGATGTAGGCGCCCTGATGGCATCTTGTTCCTCTTCTACGAAAAATTTTCATCTTCCAACAATGTTCTTCTTGCAATAAACACATGTTGGACTTGGAAACTTTCATCCACCCCACAGGTACGAAAATCAGATGATGGTATTGAAAACTGACGCTTGCAACGGCTGGGGTAATCGAGAGGCATTAATAACAGACTTGCAGCTTTCGCTCAAAAAGTTGCATAGCGAAGAAAGAGCCCTCCTGGGAAAGTATGGCAAGCGAACGGACCCGTACAGTCAGGATATCAAGCAGTATCTAAGAAGGCTTCGTGAGTAACATGAAACGCGGCAGAGGTTGAAGGAACGTGTCAAGTAATTGATGCAACAATTCTTAATGCTCCGTTAACGCGGATGATGCTCCTCAAGATCGGATGCCAGGATGATCACGTCAATGATTACGATGACGTCAAGGACGCCTGTTAGCTAAGTGGGATTTAACAACACATGACAGCGTGGAATTCGACGAGACCTTGAGATCGAAGTTGACCCATATTCATAAGATTTCTCTGAAACACACTAGGAAAAGCAATTGACCCATTTAATACGATTTCTTCGAAAACGAAGAAGCTGATGCTTCTCGATACTTTTTTTGCTCCGAATGAACGTGCCTGAAGATTACATGTAGCGATTTTTAGGATTATGATGGTGAAGCACTCCTGTCGAGACCAGTGCGAATATTTTGTCCCATCTGTATGTAAAAAGAGAAAAGGTGTAAGCTGAAAACAGACCGAGTCAAAGGAAATGCAATCAGAGCGACAGTACAAACACAACGCGGCGCAATCGCATGAGGTTGAAGATTTAGATTACCTCGAGTGTGTTCGTAAACGCCTACCGATCATCACGGAATGACTCATACATCAAGCACCAGATCCAACAATAGCCGAGCGACTTCGTCCAGCCAACCGAACCCCAATCGGTGAAACGCTCGAAAGATCTCGAAGCCGAAGGAGCTCTTTTTTAGGAGATCTTTTTTTCAGAGGACAGGTCATGTTTAAGTTTAGGTTGTTCGGCTCAGTAAAAGAACAGCTTTCACAGTCACACCTTCACGAAAGCTCTTGCTACCAGCAGGCACGCTGTGACTACTATGTCGAAAAAACGGGGGAGCGAGTAAGTGCATCTCTTGCCTTAAATTCCATAAAACGCGGCATATTTATCATCTAGCATCTTCATGTTCTTTCTCAGGATCACGATACAAGAACAAAAAAAATGACTGATGCAAGAAGTGCAGCCGAGTCTTCTCCATCCTCCTCGTCCAACGAGAAGGACGTCACAAGAACAACCGCCTACTACCACATCCTTTACGAGCATGTTAAGGGATGGACATCAGAGTGGCTCTCCCAGACTCCAGAGGTTTGGTTTGGCGCTTCCCAGAAAAGGAATCGGAAGTTTTACCAAAACCTCAATACGACTTGGGGTCTGAAGTCATTGGTTGCGAAACTGGGGGACGAGGCGGATCGGAGGGAAGTAGCAGTGGCAGAAGAAAGAAGGTGTGCTCGGACTACAGCTACGACTACCAGGGGTTGTAGAAGTGCCGGATTATGCGAAGACCCTGACAGCGAGGATACGTCCACCGCGAGAGCAACAAGTTGTATTGAGACTCTCCTCACCCAACTGGTGGCTTCAACAAAACACGGCAACTTCGTCCTCTTGAAACAGCTCTTGGCCTTAGCATGTTTTCTAGATCAACAGCCTAGAAATGAACGAGGTCATCATCTTCAACCTGGAGTAGAACTACAGCACTCTGTTGGAGGAGATGCAGATGCAGATGTTGTTGATAAACATGAAGGAGCATCGCGATTAATACAACCCATACCGTCTCTCGACTTCTGGGAAAATTTATCCCAATCATGCGGAAGGGCACTGAGGGACGACTTTCTCTCGAAAAATCAAGATGAAGATGATCATGATTTTGATGTAATGGATTACTTCATGGATTTATTCCTATTCGTCGACAACGATGCACTTGCGCAGGGAAATGGACAGGATGAAACTACAGATAAAGAGCAACAAGTAGAGCAGTTTCATTTGCTGCTCATTTTTCTGACGGTGAACTGGCGACATTCGAGGTGCCTGAAGGCGACACGATTGGCAGACAAGTTTATCTTTCAATATGTGTTGGCCATGCAGGCCGCATCGACATCAACTACTTGGTCAACCTCATCTGAGATCAAGTGTCACAAATTTGCCCTTCGTGTTTACGAAGAAAATTCCAGAGCCTTAGCAAGATTGCGGGATATGGAATTTGTGGAGCAAGCACTGTCCGACGCTACGTTTCCGATTTTGGAGGACTACCGCGTTGGATGTGGAGGCGCAAGTCCAAGTGGCACTGAAGGATTTGCAGGACGAGGGCCTTTTCTGCACGACGGAGACTATTCTAAAACTTTAGCACCCAAAACTTTGCCTTGGTTGAGCAGTGACTTTTTGGTTGCGGACCACGACCAGAGAGAGCGATACGCACGACCCGCTTGGAGGAAGCCAGAAGCTGAACCATTACTGCGGAGCCTGTTGGATAAGCTCGAAGACGTTAACAACTCTTCCCAAGACGGTCGTCCTCGTCAGTGTTTACTGTCCTTCTCGGCTGGCGTCGATTCAACAGCGTGTGCCTGTCTACTGTCAGCGTTCCAAGAGATGAGTGCTTGGGCATGCCTTTATCTCCAATACCCGAATCGTGGAGAGCTAGAAGCTGCAGCCGAACTATCCTGGGTTCGAGCTGCCTGTAGGAAGCTGAAAGCCCCATTGTTTTGGTTTCGTATGGACTTGCTGAGACCACATCAAGAACAAGTAGTCCAAGTTCAACAAGAGGAAGACGCTGGAGATGAAAAGGAACATGTGGCCAATGCAGCTTTTCCTGGAGGAGTTTCTTGTGAAATTTCTGGTTTGTCACGTGAAGAGTATGAGAAATACACCAGAGATATTCGATTCCACATGTATAGACAAGCTTGGAAATTGTTCATCGAAGGAAGAAAGGATGGATGCGAGTCTGGCCGCCAAAAGGAACAAGAAGGAGACCAAGACAGAGGTCATCACGATCAAGATCAAGATCAAGATAATCTTCCCTGCATCCTCCTCGGGCACCATGAAGACGACTGCGATGAAAACAGGATTGAAAATCTGACAAGAGGCCATCTCTTATGCCGCGATCACGGAGGTGCAGACGGCATGGTCGTATCAAGGGTTCTTGGTGGTGTACGGCTATGGCGACCTTACGTCACCGGGACTCGCAAACAGGAATTTTTAGACCTATTGGAAGCACTGAAGTTTCCTTATCTGCGGGATTCCACACCTGCTTGGTCAGTAAGGGGTGTGATTCGGAAAACGTTGGATGCGATTGTGAAGGTAGAAGCTAAAGACCATGCAGGAAGTAGTCGTTTTTCTTCGCCCGACAGAATTACAAAACATCGAGAAGAGGAACAGGATATTACGAGTAATATTCTTGTCGGTAGTTCTCCGTCAACGACTGCGGAAACCACGCCAAGTTCGCTGCTAAAAAGAAGCCCTGAGCAAGATCGTGTCGTAGGTCGTGATCATTCTTGCTCCAATACTGGCATCCGGAGCCCTGAGCAAGTCGTAGGTCGTGATCATTCTTGCTCCAATACTGGCATCCGCAGCCTCTTGTCCCAATACAGTGGCCTTTCCGCGACTCTTGCTTCTCGGCTAAAAACTCTAGAGAACGAATGCTGCAACCCAAAAATGTGTATGCTTTCTATTCCTGCGAAGAGTAGCGCGAAAATTAGAGTCTTCCTTCTCGACTTGTCACGCTTACGGAGTCGCTTTCGTGACACCGACTGTGCTTCGCCGATGGTCATACTGCGCAAGGTCGTCTCTGCAATTGCGAAGAAGTGGAACAGCCAACTTGATGAACAACAGACAGCGGCTACTGCCCCTACTGAGTCGAGCATGACTGAAGAAATGTTGCGGATTAAGATTTTTGAGAATGACTCTCCTGTCGGAAGACGAAGTAGAGACGACCGCATGATGAAAGTAGAGCAGGAGCAAGAAGACAACGACCTTTCCCATCTGTTGCATCAGATTGTCTGCCGTGGAGCGGTTATGCTAGACGACGAGGTACCCGTGACGCCATTGCTATCTTGTCCACCATCTCTTCTTGCTTCTCAGAAGAATACTCCGAGAATAAAAGTGCGAAGAGGAGTGCATCTTCAGGCGCATCCTGAACCGCAGCAGGAAAGGCCTGATGGTGAAATAAAGCCTGCTCAAGGGGAACAACGGGAAAGGCCTGATGGTGAAATAAAGCCTGCTCAAGGGCGGGAACAATCGCAAGCCTCTCCTGCTCAAGGGGAACAATCCTCTTCTAGAAATCATGCTCAAGGGGAACAACGGGAACAATCGCAAGCCTCTAGAAGAAACTCACTGATCCTGAACAAAAAAGCCGTGCAGCATATGTGGCAGAACATCCGAGATTCGAAGAAGCCAGTTTCTGGTGGTGGTCTGGTTGAAGGACTGGGGTACTTGCACTGCAAGCAAGGCGAAGGACCACAAGGAGGTTTAGGTTTGGAATTTGTGATTCTTTACAAGGGCGATCTGAAAGACCGAAGGGCTGATATTGTGAAATATGCGAAGCAGCATCTTGATTCTATTGCTGGATGAAGGCTTTTGAAGGTAGCGCACTCAGGACTAGTACTTACTCCAAGAATCATATAATTGACGACTCGAGGACTTTACCGTTAGTATTCCATTTCCAAAGACCTCCGTGATGACCTCTGATCCTCATTCCTCACTCCCACTAGCTTCAAAAATAAGGGGTGCTACAGGTAATTGAAGGCGCACCACAGTAGTACTGATACCAGCTATCGACCTTATGAACGCGGTGGTGTTTCAACATAGTGTTTGTGCCCTTGGGCGTTGGCCCAACAAGCCAAGATCTGTCGTGTTACAAAATGATCTGGAAATGCTTGTGGACATCATGATGAAAAAATGTAAGGAAGAACCAAAAGCAGATGCAAATTGGACAAGTTGCAACTAGAAAGGTTCGGTCTGATGTTATAGGAAAAGTTTGATGTTGAGTGGTTGTCCTTGTCATGGTCGATGCTTTCGTATGATTTTGATAAACTACGAAGAAGTAAAGGAACATCACTCAACATAGAGATGGACCTCTGATTGCCCGGCCCTGTTCAGGAACGAAGAAGAATGGGGAGAGGACTACGACGACCTCACTTCGGTGGTGACTCTCGGCAAACACAACAACATAACCAAGCCGTAGGTGAAGTTGCAGAAGATGATGAGCAACAGAAGCCCACCGAAGATGCGCCGCCTGCGGCGCGAGAGCCTTGTCTCTCAAAACGTGTGCGTCGGACCTACGGACTGAAAAGACGGGCTTTACTTTGTGGCTCTCTTTAAGGCTACAATATATAACGAACAACTATCAATTTTGAATTAGAGTATTGATTGTTTTCCTCCTCAATACTGACAGACTACTTAAGTAGCTGTAGCTGAAAGTAGCTGTAGCTGAGGTCATCTTCATTCTAAATCTCGCAATTCTTCTCCTCTTCGCATTCCCCTGGCCATGCATACGGCGCAAGAAGCGAGAATCCACCGCAGCATGTCGTATCCCTCAGGAGAGTCCTCATTCCACCAGAGGGACAGGACGATCGATTTTATCAAGACTATGAAGGTGGTCATAGTTCATCAAGTTCTGCGCATAGCCAAGGCCAACGTAGAAGTGACCTCAGAAGTCCCGCTGGCGGCGACTGGGGAGATGCAAGTCCAGAGGATGCCTCAGGCGCTGTCCGTCGTGGTCCGACTTCAGTAAGTCAAACCGGCGCTTGGTCGTTGAGTAGAACAAAGCATGCCGCTAAGCGAGTGGTGCTGTCAAGACCGGAAATCGATGTACAACTTCTTGTCTGAGAAGTGGTCATGCTTCTGATATGAAGATCTAAACAAGTCTCAAACTCGACTTCTTGTACTGCATCATGAACATCTCTTGACAATAAGCAAGAAATTTGAATCCATGATTTCAATAGGCCCTACGGAGTTACCACCAGAGTGCGCATCGACGGGGAGCCAGTAGCACTACGAGTGGTCGCAAATATCTGTCATCCAAACGGACTAACGCGGTCACGAAACTAAAAAATCTCTACAATTCCCAGTATGTTGGAGCAATTGGCGTGGGCTCGATATCTGTTCCCCATCGATGCGCCGAGAGCCGAACAACACCGGTAATGCTAGTCAAGAAACTATAAGTAAAACAAAGAGGGCGATGGAGTTATTTTAGATAGATGAAGATCTAACAAAGAGGGCGATGGAGTTATCTTAGATAGATGAAGATCATGATAGTTATACCAGTACGAGTACCATGCTGCATCGAGAACATGACCAGGAGAAGAAAACACTGCAAATAATCACTCAGGTCAATTTCGTCCTCTCAGAATTCGCGAAACTAGACGGTTCGCTGCGCAATTCATGCCATTATGAGGAGCAGTCCATGATTGACGTGGTTTTTGATACGGGATCGACGAACTTGTGGATCGCTTCCGATCTGTGCACCACAGCACCATGTACGGAAAGCGGTCGAAAGCGCTACAATCACATGCTTTCGGAGTCATTCCAGAAGACGGAGCTGGAAACCGAATTAGACATTGAATTCGGCACAGGAGAACTGAAAGGGGAACAAGGTACAGTGAGTGTCTTGTTTAGGAAGCGCTTTGAGTCATCATTCCTTGTGATAGGACTTGAGTTTTTGATGAACTTCGAATGAGCTGCAACTTGCGGTCCTTCTCTCATAGTGATGGTGATACTTAGTTGTTCTTCTTCTTGCAAGGAAATTCATCATCATCTACAGGTCAAGACGATTTTCATGTTGGGCCGTTCACTGTAGAAGATCAGAGTTTTGGGATGATCCGTGAGGAAATTGGCGACGCTTTCAAGAGCATTCCCTTCGAGGGCATTCTCGGACTTGCCTTTCCAAGTATGTCGGCTGGAAACGTCCGGCCATTCTTTTACGGCTAGTGGTTGTAGATGTAGCGCTTCGATCATCGACAACAAAGCCTTCTTCGAGGCAAATTAGAGACCACGCATTGGAAGGAATGCGTAATGGAATGGAATGGGGTTTCTTCTAATAAAAATTTATTGACAACTACGTGATCCAGATCCTGATCTGATTGCCAAACCCCAAGGTGCCTCCTCTAATGTCCCGACAATGTGATAGCCCAAGGCGTTCTGGCAAAGAACGAGTTTGCTTTTTACTTCAACATGGAGGAGGCAGCCACAGTGGAGCACGCGCTGGAGCCGATGAACGCGCTTTTTTGGGGCGGCGTGGATGAGCACTTTTACGAGGGTCCAATCAAGCGCTACAATGTGACGCAACCTCACTACTGGGCTATAGACCTCTTGGAGTTTAGGGTTGGAGACGAGGCCTACGACGTCGAAGCAGGTGAACGGATTCAAGGAACTAGTAGTGGCCGCACAATGAGTAGCAGTTCTTCATTAGCGATGTCTGCAGATGTGGATGTGCCAAGTAGCTCATTCGTCGAAGATAGTAGTGGAAGTGGAACTCAAACTGGTGGAGGTAGTGGCAGTGGGATCCAGCAGAGGACGTCGAGTACTAGAAAATCTAGTGGTCGCTACATGCGCCGACATGATAAGGAGTTAGACAACGTGCATGAGATAACGATTCGTCCAGCCGACGTAGCTGCTGTGGACGTCAATGAGCAATTGTTGCTAACGAACTTGGTTGGCCGTACTACATCGACTAGCAAAGCGGATATTAGCAGTGGTAGCTCAAGCACATCATCTCTAGCCTCCGTGGCCGGTGACTTCATGTCCGGTATCGCCTCGTCTTTCCTAGAAACAAAAGATGCAAAGGTACCAGAAAAGATACAAGAAGATGTTGAAGATCAACGCGAGGAAGCGAAACAACGGAAAGCAGACGGAAATGATGAGGACTTACCATTACCTTCCTTAAGGGTAGGATAAGGGTGCTTTTGTTACCGTTTGTTATGGCTCTCCTAAGGGGGACGGCCATGACAAACGGGATACACGAACAACAAAAACCTACCTCTAACTTCAAGGCTTACCCCAGATCAAGAAGAACGAGAGTCGTCAGAGCAAGAGGACGAATCACCTCCAGAGTCATTACTACAAGTCGTAACTTCATCGAGAACTACAGATGAAACGTCTCCTAGTGCTAATATGAAGGGCGAATTCGAGATAGATGCGCAAGCTAGATGGGATCAGAAGAATGAGGAACAAAAAGATGTACAGCAAGTATCTACTTCTTCATCCAGGAAGCAACATCTTCATCGTGAATCTCTCAGAGGTGAATATCAAGACGAAGTACAACAAAGTCAAGACCTCCAACAGGCACTACAGCAAGTAAACGAAGCTTCCGCTCAACAGTTGAGCTTAAGTCCTCCAAGAAGAGGGAACACGATACCCAAACTAGTGATCGATAGTGGGACAACGTATTTCACCGCTGGTAAAAAGCTGTACAAGACCCTATCAGAGCGTTTGCCTCCTGTAGATTGTGACGAAATCAACGCTCAAAACTATCCTCCACTCGCATACGTGTTGCAAAATGCAGAGACCGGCAAGAAGGAAGAGCTACTCATACCGCAAGAGATTTACATGTACACTGGTTTTACTTATGCTAGAGAAAATCAGGCCAAGGCTCAAGTACAAAATCAATGGTTGATCCAGTAGATATGAAGTTCTTAGTATCTGGTGCAATGGTTTATTTTGTTATGGTTTTTACCACTTGACTCTAGTATTCCTGAAATTAACTACTTAAGTACCTGCTTGCAAACTTCTTTTAATCGACATTCTTTTCACTCGCCGTACTCCAGGGTCACCGACGAGAACGGCCAATGCGAGCTAGCCTTTATGGAGATAGATTTGCCGCATGGTTATGGACCAGGCATGTTACTTGGGGAAGTGTTCATGCGACACTATTTCACGGTATTTACAAGGGAACACGCTGGACCTGGAGATAATAGTCAGCATGGCAGCGCGCAGACTGGAGGTGGTGGATCCTCTTATGGCATTGGCTTGTAAAAATACTTGATAGTCCATCACTCGGTCCTCTTGCTCTTCTTTTTAGAAGGTACAAATTGACTGAACGACCTCAGAACCATTTGGCCACGTGGTCTAAGAGGTAACATAACATGACATGACATCTTGCTGTCCAATGAGACAACGACAAGGATGGCTCCTTTAGTTCTGAGTGTGACCAACATCATCAACATGGAGGAAAAACAAGTGCAATGTGCTATCTATCTTTTCCTCGTCTGTCAATGATCATTTAGCAAACTGCTCTAAAGCCCAAGAGCAGGCGCTTCGTCCGCGACAGTAGGATTCGCACGCGCAAAGGTGGGCAGCGGACCGATGACGAGACTGCGGCAGCTTACTTCCGAAAGTAAACCTTCCTTTGGGGAAGCATAGAAAGAATACGATATTCGATGAAAGTAGAAAGTAGGCATGTACTGAAAAATGAAACAGAATGTGCATGGAAAATCTGATATGTAGCTTCTGATACCCTCCATCTTATCCATCTTCGTGTTCATCATCAAAGTCGATTCTAATTTCTCAAAAGTATAATCAAGTCCGATATTAATACTCATCATTCCAATCTTCAAAATCAGCAAATATAACAAGTTTAGCTAGTTTATGGTTATTGCTATGCACAGTTTCCGCCTAGGTATAGATTGTACATCTCCACAGTTTCCGCCTATAGAAATAGATTGTACATCTCCAGTTACTCTTCTAGGTTTGCCTCAGCGTAGAGGTGCTTGCACAGAAAATGTAAATGAAAAAGAAGGAACGCCGCGATAATGCCAATTTTTAAACACAAGCTGCACTGGCCAACTGTGCGAGATTAATTATATTGTCTTGCGAGGATGATCATATTCATCCAGGCACACATGGGCAATAAAGCTAATCATGATCATCTAGTATCCTGCTCTACGACCTCTACGGTCTCGTATTATAGATTACTCAGACTCAAACTCTCTTCCTAGAACTAGAAGTCAATGTATGAATGCAACCTCTTTTGCACAAGAATATGGAATTGTGGAGGAAGACAGGAATGTGGAAGTAGATTTCAGGACACCAAACGGAAAAAAGCGTGAAGGAGATTAGGGTGTCCATATTTTTAACGGGCATGATCATTTAAGCATAGAATTAGAGACTCTTGTGAACAAGACGATGAGGTCGAGTAGAGTCAGAGGCGAGAAACAACAAAGCATCAAAAAGTATTTTCGATGGCGATCGATGAAGTTCTTATTAATAGGACATCTCAGTCACAATCACTACCCGCGCAGGTACAGGTGTTAGTGGCGTCATTTTCCATTTCATTCCCGCCTTGTCCATACAAGACGCACGCGGACTTGCTTGATATATTCACTTTCGTTGTTCTTGATGAATCTCGATTTACTTGTCCACCGTTCAACTTCAACATTGTGATTCTTAATTTGTCTTTCAATTTCCAAATGAACGAAACTTTGAGAGAACAAATGGAAATATGAAAATGGTCTCCAACATTTGACAGCCGCGATAAGACCAAGTGCTCTTGTCTTCGCATACGCATCACGACTGCTCCCGATCGTTCGTACCTGCGGATGCTCATTGATTGCGTTCAAGGCAGAGCACGAAGTTTATTGCGATCTGCTCCTAAGGATAGAACACGAGGTTTTTTGCGATCTGCTACTTCTCAATCTTGTTCATGCTTAGACGCTACAAAACACCTATTACAGGCAAGAACGACTAAAAGAGCGTTAGTAGTGAGTACAGTCGTGAAGAACTTGGATTCATAGTCGTGGTGAAATAACTAGAGAAAGTAGTACTAGCACCGCAACTTCTAGTACAACGCCACGAGCACTTGGCTACTAGCGATACGCTTTACGACGGCAACTGACTCACTGCCCGCCGTGGCTTCGACTCTGCTCGTAGAGGTACGACCATGAGCTCGTGGTCGTGTTGACCAAGAATCTGCTTCGTGTTGCGCTGCTAAGAACGCCTGCGACATCATTTTAAAACTGGAATTGGTCGCTCCTCCTGCTCCTGTCCGTAAACGTTGAATTCTACTAAGCGACTAGTAGTACACCTTCAGTATTACAAGAACAGCCCATTCGAATAGCGCATTTATTTCAGTCCAAGCAACCAGGCGACACAAGATAAAACGAAGATGTTTCTCGGTGGTGGGCGGACGCAAGCAGGCGGGTCCTCATCGTCTGCGGGTCCAAATAAGGTCCGGCAATTCCGGAGTGGCGACCCGATGGAAGAACGCGATGCGCAAAAGACATGGGAAAGTCTGAAATTATGTGACAGTGCGATATTCTTATTTGAAATCGAACAGTAGTTCTAGAAGCAGCCACTAGCTCCTCTTATCACTGAAGGTACTGGAACGACGGAGCGACTGCATGAGCACATTGTGCAACATTGTTCTTGCTCCTTTTTCCCTCGCGTCGTCGCCCCACATCCACCTCTAATCCACAAAGCCATCCACCAAATCCATGCTCACAACGCGTCAACTCTGAGTTTTGAGGAGCTTTATCGCAATGCGTACAACCTAGTTCTGCATAAGCATGGGGCGCTTTTGTACAACGGTGTGCAGCAAGTTGTCTTGGATCACTTGAAGGAGATAGCAACAGATGTTATACGAGGTAGTAGCTTACAACTTGAGTTTCCTCTTCCTCTTCCACTTCCTTTGCTTGTTCCTCTTTCCACTTCCATTTCCTTTTCAATATTCACATCCTCTGCAACCAAGAATAGTCGAACTCACACTCATTCAACATTTAACTCATTGTCCCTCTCTACATGATAGCCGCCGACGAAGGCCTTTTGGACGAACTGAAAGTGCAGTGGGACGACCATAGAACCGTGATGGTGATGATACGGGACATTCTGATGTACCTCGACCGAAACTACGTCTCTCAGTACAAGAAGATACCTGTCTACGAAATGGGCTTGATCGCCTTTCGAGAACAAGTAACGGCGCACGAGAGAGTAAAGGTTAAGGCTTGCCGTAATTCATCTCAAGAGGCATCTTTCTCCTCTGAGGAAACGCTTTTTATCTCTCAGTTAATTAAATATTAGAGGGAAAACACGTTCTTGCTGACAGAGGATCTTCAAGATGAATTTGGGTAAGCTCTAAAGAAGATCGGTTACTGAAGATCTTGCTGGACAAGGTCAACCAAGAAAGAAATGGCGAGCAAATAGACAGGATACTCTTGAAACATACGCTGACGATGCTGGTGGAACTCGGAGCTGGCGGGCAAAATGTCTACAAGACTTGCTTTGAGGACTGGTAGTCATGTACATTCAAGATTTTCATTTTGCTATTGCTTGTTCTTAAAACTAGCTCTAGATTCAAATTAACTCCTCGCGAGTAAATCTAGTCCTAGACTCCAAGAATGGTCACACTACCTAATGCACGTCCTCCTGAAACATGACCTCTTGTCAGGCACATCAATCAATCAATGAATAAATGAATCAATCAAGGTTCATAGAAGACGCCCGAACCTTCTATCAGCATGAGAGTACGAAGTACGTCTCCGAGCACACTGTTGGGGAGTACTGTAAGAAAGCAGAGGCTCGAATACGAGAGGAGAAACAGCGCGTTCAGAGCTACCTCCATGAAAGCACGATGGACAAGATACAATCCCTCATGGACAAAGAGTGGATCCAGAGACACTACGAGACATTGGTGTTATGAAGAAGGATTATTTCAAGAAAAACAAAATGAAAATCGAAAACAATATTATAAAGTCAAAGTTATAAATAACTACGATCTTCGTTGTCTCCTCTAGCTCTAACGGCAAGTACAGGCGCCCGACCCATGTTCGAAGGGGACAAAGTAGAAGATCTCGAACGAATGTTTCGGCTTTTTGTGCGAGTGCCTGAATCCCTGAAACCTCTGCACAGCGTCTTGCGGGAATGCATAAAGGACGCAGCTAAAGCTATCCTTTCAGACGCCGAAAAGCATAAGGAGCCTGTGTCGTTTATTGACGCTCTATTGAGTAATAAATAGTTCTGCTTTACTAGTTACTACATTCTACACGAAGATGAAGTAGTATTTTATGCCCTCTAAATGAAGATGAAATAAATGTGCTAATGCTTAATGTAGTTCAAGTCGAAGATCCATTGCGCCGCTCGTCCAAGCCGCGGTGCTCGTGAGCAGTGGTGCTCCACATCGAATTAACTCCACCATCCAGAACTCCGAGAAAAGTACTCCACCATTGTGCGAGATGCATTCCAGAATTCGAAGGAGTTCCAGATATCGTTGAAGACGAGCTTTGAAGAGACCTTGATTATGCCTGCTGGCTTTTGCGTTCTTAGTCAGTAGAAGGATACTCATTGCCTGAGCCTGTATCATTCCGCCGGTAGGCTTGAAGGACTACCTGGGATGCGAATGAATGAATACTCATTCAAGAACCTGTCCGGAGTAGCCTAGTACGAGGGCCCTCCACATATAATAGTAATAGTAATAATAGTATTAATAATAATAAGAATAATAATTCAAGAAGCAGGTCAAGCTCCAACTCCCACGGCGACACCAGCACAGCACGGTATTTGTCCCTCTTCGTCGATGAGCTCTTTCGCAAGGGGATGCGGAGCGTGTCAGGACAGCTTCTGGACCAAGCCGATACTCGATTAGACCAGGTAGTCACGATTTTCCGCTACTTGCAGGACAAGGACATCTTCGAGAGCTACTACAAACATCACTTCGCAAAACGTTTACTGTCAGGGAAGCAAGCGGATGATGCAGAAAAAGCGATGATCAGCAAATTGAAGGGTATTTGATAGAAATACCAGTACTACCAGAAAAAGCGATGATCAGCAAATTGAAGATTATTTGATAGAAATACCACTACTGCTTGCCTTAATATGCTGCTTCACCCTGAAGTGCAAGGAGTAGAAGTATTTTCTTGATCTTGAGAGTCCCCCCGACGTAACGAATATTTCGTACTCCAACGGATGAAGTAAACAGGACTCTTGGAGAAAAGCCTCATCATTTGCCAGAGGAAGTTCCCTTATCCCAGTGGTTGAGCGCGTGCCCCTGGCTTCCTTTGGGAATCCCCTCGTCGTTGAGACGCTCGCGGCAGGGCGTGGGTCCATCCCCTACAGGGGACGCTTACATCATGCCCCTGCTTTCGCCTCGATTTGGTTGAGTACTCTGCAAAACATTTCCTCCGCACCTGCTCCGCGCCCTCCAAGTGAACGTGATCGCTTCCCTTTCTCTTGCTGCGTCCCTTGAAAGAAAGTATACCCTTGAAGAAGGTCATGCTCATTTATGCCTACCCCCGTAACAGATATTTCCCATCCTTATCCTGGGAGACCCCGCTTTGTCTGGTGTCATTTGCCAGCAGTTGTTCCCTTAGCTCAGTGGTAGAGCGCCCGCACTTTCCTAAAGCACACAGAACCGCGGGAGGGCGTGGGTTCGATCCCCACAGGGAACGCTTTTGCCTTGTCTGCTCTTCGCCTCTCATTACACTGACTTACTCCTGGGGAGCAGTCTTGCTATTTGCTCTGTCATCGTCTCTCCTTAACTTCCAGGTAGACTTCCCTAGTGGACTTTGTCCAAACCTTACTCAACCTACTCCAGGCGAATGCGGCCATCAATACACTGCCAAGCTTGAGGGTATGTTGAATGATATCAAGACGTCAGAGGATTTGACGAAGAATTTTTTAGTTGCGCATCCGCCTACGGAACTTGGTGTCGAACTGAGATTGAATATCCTCACCTCCGGTTATTGGCCAGCCTCTTCAGCGCCACCTTCTAGCTGTGATTATGACCGGGGTTTTCGATTTTGTGATTGTGATGGAGGTAGCTGTCGCTGTAGCTGTACTTCGTTATTCCTTCGAACAATTTTGAGTTGCTTAGATGATCTTGTAGCTGTACTTCGTTATTCACTTGAACAACTTTGAGTTGCTCAAATGATTTTCTAGATCTATTTCCACCTCTAAGACTCAATTCCACCCTCGTTGAAGCCGTGTCTCGACACTTTCCGAGACTTCTACATCCAAAAGCATCAGGGAAGGCGATTAACGTGGAATTTCTCTCAGGGGACTGCTGAAGTACGGGCAAGACTGTCGGGAAGTACTTGGATTATGTCTTAGGTGGTTGAAGATCAAGATTCCATCTTCTGCAGGTTGTCAACGAATAGAACTACAACATCATCCCTCTCATTTTTGTACGTTTTAGCAGTCCTCTTCAACATAAGTAATTTTGACATTTATTAAGGATGAGACCTCTGGGGCTGACAGGACCACGACAGCGCCGGCGCTTAGTTAGTAGTAGATAAGTTCTTGCCTGACTTTTCTTTTTTCGGTTTTTGTTTTTTCTAGTTAGATATGCTCGACCAACTTTATTAAGGATGACGATCTGGGGCAGATCATGATCTGCCATCTTCATCGTGTTCCATACAGTTTGTTTTCCACCAGATAAGCGGCGGATCTGCCATCTTCATCGTGTTCCATACAGTTTGTTTTCCACCAGATGAGCGGCGGATCTGCCATCTTCATCGTGTTCCATACACCTCCACCAGATAAGCGGCACGAACTAGTGGTCTCCACGTACCAGATGGTTCTTCTTACTTGTTTCAATGGCAACGAAAACGCTTTGAGTTATGCCGATTTGCTATCGAGAACGAAGATTCCCATAGAGGACTTTAAGCGGCATCTGCAGAGTCTATACGCCAATCCAAAATGCCGTTTGCTGATAAAAACAACTGCTGGCAACCCGAATGACCCGGCTGACAGCGGTAGTTCAGGAAGCAAGAGAGAACCGGCTGAGGGGGATACCTTTTCCGTGAATAGTGAGTTCGAAAGTAAACTCGTGCGGGTGAAAGTCCCCTTGATCCGAGATGCAGACCCGACAAGGATCGCGCAAGATCCGGGAGTGCAAGAAGGTACTTCTGCTCGAAGGTGAATTTTTTTCAGCACGATGAAAACTTCTTGATCTTGACTTGAAATAAATCCACTTTCATCTACAATACCAACGTCCCTTTCAACATTTAGACAACGAACAATACCAAGAACATTTCTTTCAGTTAGACAACAAGCCAACCAGCCGACGGCCCCTTTCATTTAGACAACAATACCAACACCAACATGATGATCTGCTCATTCAGGCACGGACATGCCGGCTTCGGTTGAGGAGGACCGTAAGCATTTGACTGAGGCCGTCATTGTTCGGATTATGAAGAGTCGCCTCGTAGTGGAGCACAATCAGCTGGTGGTGGAAGTTACGAAACATCTCCAGAACCGGTTCACACCGACCCCTGCTCTGATCAAGCAACGCATAGAGCGCCTCATCGAACGCGAGTACCTTGAACGAAGCGAAAAAGACAGGAAAGTCTATAACTACTTGGCGTAGAAAAAAGTTGTTGAAGGGCTCCTGCTGCATGTAGCTATTAAAGAGTGCTCAAGGGCTCCTTGTGCATGTAGCTTCTCTAGTATCCTTTGTTCCACCGCAGTCAGCTTTGATGCTGCATCAACTATAAGGTTGTCTCGCAAGCAGCTGTATTCGCATGTACACGCCCAAGTAGATGCGCTGCCACGACCAGCATGATCAATCACTAGATCTACAACATCTACAACCTACTTACTACTTCTAATAGTTTGGATTTTTTCTAAAACCTCTGAATGATTTTCCTCAGCACCTGAATTCTCCTCGACTGTACAGACTAAATTTGGGATTTTTACATCGTATCTTCACGATTTGGCGGTGTGCCATTGGGTTAAATTTTTGGATTTGATTTTGTAACACGACTACCCTTGTTGTTGTTGATGGATCACCTCTATTTTCCCTTCTTGACTCCTGTCTTTGCGCGACGCATTTTTTTTCTCAAGACGACCTCGTGTAGATGTGCCCCGAGGAGAAGAAAAAGGGATGGCTTTCAGCGAGCGCTCTTGGCGTTCGCGGAGACAAAGTTTAGAAGCGTGGACTAATTCTATGATCCTAATCAATTATATCTACAAGATGAAGCAGATGTTTTCTCGTCGTGCTTCGTCTAGACTTCTCCGATATCACAATAATACTGTTTCCCAGAAATGAATGATGAAGTGGATTTTTCTTGAAGATAGAACCAAGAGGACGGAATTGATAGTGGTCGCGCTTCTATCTGCGTAGACGAGGCACATGGTTATGGAAATGTGAACGCTCCTTCCGCAACGTTTTGTTGTCCACCCGACTAACAACCTTCTCGACTCGTCTAGATTGATGATCCGTGTTTTCCTGCGATAATCCCTGAAATCTGACATGACCACGATCGGAGGACTTTCTCGTTTTTTTCAAAGCAAGGATCTAACTGCAGCTAGTACGCTAAGTTGTACGCACCAGATGCTCTTTTTTTTGATACCACACAGTTGCAGATTCTACTTTTATGCACGTTCTTGTTGATCCTCCCTCACCCAGAAACTACAGCGACCAGTGGCAGCGCAAACAGGAGCTGGGAAACCTTAATCATGAATCATGAGACCACCATTATCGCACTGTAAGTAACCTACTACACGACTAGGTCAGGAGGATGTTGTTTCTTCACAATACACAGATTTCGAGTTGACGACTTTCACTTTTTTTTTGTAAAACTACGACGCCATAGTGACCACAACAGATTTCGAGTTGACGACTTTCACTTTTTTTTTTCTAGAACTACGACGCCATAGTGACCACAACTTCGTAGCGGCACATCCTCAACATCCTGATGAAATATCAAGAGTAAGTAAGTACATCACCAAACAAAACAAGTAACGACAAAGGATGTTACCTGCGACGTTACTGACGGATGACCCAACTGCCAGTCAGTCGATGATACGGGACTTGGAGTTCATCCAACAACATCATCACAAATTCTACTCACAACTCGAGATCGAAAGTGCGGATGACCATGAGGCTTTCTTTTGGCTCGCAAGCAAGAGGCAACCGAATCGGCGATTGAGGCTGTCGTTGAGTGCTCAGACAGCGTTCACGGTTATAGATTATGCCGACCACAGAGGATTACTCGTAGTAGTTAAATATATGAGGCTCGTGAAGAAGACGGGTTGATTTACGTCCTTGAAGCAGCTTCAACAATGAGAATGATGTTCATGCTGCATTCACTTTTTCTAGTCATGGAATAAAGATGATAAGCTTAAGCAAAGACCTCATCCTACTCCTACACGACGATTAGCAGTTATATCCAAACCCACCACCTGAAGTTGAAGATACGACTTATTTTTTTCTCGCCCTCCTTGTTCATTCGGAAGACCCAGAAAACAAGTTGCTAGGTCGACAATTCGAATCGTTTGAGCAGGTGATGAGCGCACTCGACGAGGGTGATTTCGGCGACTTACTCTGTGGCTTAGCGGCAGCAAAACTCGCTGAAATGGGCGCTGTGGACGATGCAGAAGAGGACAACTCCTTTGAAGATGGCAGAGATTAAGGCTCACCTTTCAATGGTCATTAGGGTTGGTCAGTCACTGAGATCGAAGAGGCGACCCCTTCTTGAGAGAAGCAACAGGGGAAATAAACGAACGGAAAGGGGAGAGCTTTGAAGGGGGTCTCTTCCGTTCAGAGTCATGATGACCACTTCTGACTGCTGAGCTTTAAAGAGAGTTGCGCGAACAACAACAGATCACGGGTTTAGGAGGTTTGAATGCCGGGTTTGGACAGGTGATAGATGATGAGGATCCCATGGCGGACTGAAGAGGCCTACTTCTAGCTCTTTTGCTAATATCGGATTAATTTTAGAGCCAAAGAATCCGAAAAGAGCCATCATGCCTGACACCTGAATGTCATATTTTCGCAGCAAACAAGATGAAGAAGTCGTCTTTCAGCTTGGCTATAGCAGTCATTTTCAATCCTCGATCCTCTAATACATTCTTTCGTGAAGTCATTCAATGAACGATTATACTAGCAAAATGAGATGACACTAGAAAAATCGCATTGAAGATGTTGTTGGCCTTGAGCTGAACCTACGTCGAAGGTGTACACATCATACGTAGAAGTTGATACTACTACTTGCACAGAACAAATCTTCACTTCAAGCTATGGGCTCCTGACTTTATCTAGACAGTTTCTAGTAACTGTTTCAGGTTCATCTCGTGTTTTCGACTTCGGTGGTCAGGCGGACTAGACGCGGAGCGATCAATCTATAATCTCAGTGGTCGAGTATGGCAATGTTTGCATGTTACTAGTGATCATAATTATGATGGAAGATTTTTTTGTGCCGTAAGAATAAGATCTCTACTCAAGTAGATCCTCTTCCTTCGGGGCCAGAACAAAACGCGTTGAAGAAGAAGTGACGATCGCGTTCACGATCTGCTGATGGATCACCTTCATCGTCCATGAGAGTCAGAGTATGGGAGAGAGATGACGAGCAGCATGTTTTGTAACTCTGAAGAGTATTGAGAAAGCAAGTCCTTTGAAGAACAGCGAACTTCATCAAAGTAAGAAGTATCTGAATCATCAAATCCATCAGCATCATGTCTCACCCCACTGCAACCGGCAGAGGTGGAGGCAATTCTCCTCAACATCAACCTAGGCAGGCGCAGCTGGCCCGACCGAAGTCTGCGGCTGCCATAGGCGAGCAGGAATCTGGTAGCATCTTCACTCTCCGAAGACGCGCCTCACGGGTTGGACGGAGCGACCCAAGCCTACTTGGATGTTGTAATATTGAGGGTCGTGATCCTGGAGACGATGATCTACATAGAGGTGGAAGTGGAGTGTTCTATCCCTCCACAGGCGCTAGTGGAGGAGGCGGTAATGCTACAGCCATTACAACCTTGGCCCTACCCTTCGGTAGCCTCTCCATGTCAGAAGCTTCTGCTCGGCGTTCAGGATCGACACCTGCAGCTGGGGGGACTGTGTTAAGAATGTGAATGGGGCTTACGCTTACAGGTGCTAGAAGAAGCCATAATTAAGTTGCAAAATGAAGATGAATTAAATATATACTAGAGTAGTTTATAAGTATACTAGAGTTAGTATATTATACGAAATGAAGTGCTCCTGGGGTCCATGCTCTCATGTAGCAAGCTTCTGTAGCTCTTGGTGACCATCGACGCCAAGATGAAGATGTCTTCGCATTTCTTAGTCACCCAACAGGGAAGTCGTAGGTCCAATCCGAATCGACTAACATCATCAAGCACGCAGCGAGTCTATCGACATCGCGCTTCTTCTAAGAAATCACGGCGCCTCAACGGTATCGCCTCGTGCTTGGGCTAGCAGTGAAGCAAGAATGTTCCCCTCAAGTGGCGCTGCTGGTGCGGGAATAGCAGAGTTTGCGCCGTTCGGTAGAGGGACTTCGGTAGGTACTACAAGCGCTTCTCAATCACCAGCACAGCATGATCCAAATGCTCCTGCGACGCCTCAACATCAATCACAGGCAGCTTACGGATCTCCAAACAGCGGATTGCCGCCTCCTGCGCCTATTAAGGCTCAACTTTCATTGGTCACCATTTAGATTGGGGCCACTGAGATCGAAGAGCAAGAGGGCCCCGTGAGAGAACTACAGGGGAAACGGAAGGGAAAACAAGCAGAGAGCGAGAGGTGTGGGACCCTTCCCGTTCAGAGTCAGGGACCAATGAATGCCGACCTTTAAGCCTAGTACAACCAATGGAGGTAATGGAACATCACCCAACCTTCGTTCTTCTCCACCAACTCGGTCGGGGTCTGCGAGTTTTCTATCTCGCGCTTCTGAGTGGGTGAAAAACACAGCTGGCGTAGTCATGCCGCCAAGGGATAGTAACATATGGTGCTGATAATTGTGTACTTTTACTAATTTACTTGCAGTGCAACTAGTAGTCGTTGCTGCTCACCACGTCTATCGTTTTTATCGCAACAAAGGAGATGAATTTGGAATGTTGAAATATTAATCGAGTGGGACTACAACTACTACTAGCATTTTTAGCAGCTCTCAGGAAGATCCGTACAACTTGTGAAGATGTCAGTAGAAGGTATGAACAGGAGGAGAGGATGCTTTTTAATTTTATTCGAATAGCAGGTGGAGAGGATGCTTTTTATTCCATTCCATAGGAGAGGCATCTTCTAATCTGTATCCGCAAAGTGGTGAACATTCTATGTGGCAATCCTCTACAGTGTGTCCAAAAGCTTAAGGAAGCTTTCCTAGAGGACGAATTCAAATTGAAGCACGTGAGCATCCAGAAGACGTCACTGCACACTGCCAGCTGGTCCTTCGATTCAACGATTATAAGGGAAGTGAAGGTATCGGTTTATAATTTCTAAAAAAATCGAATTTATTTTGACACTGTTCTTGATTCTCAGATGTGATCCTCTTGCTTCTGAAGTAGTTGAATGTCAACTGCTGCAACTATGATCTCATCTACTTCTGCTTCGCTCTACATCTCTTCTACTCAGGAGCAATTTGAATAATTTGTCTGATGTTTCCAAGAACCACGCGCATGTCACCACCTCCACATCAGCTCCCATGGGGCCCCTTCGATCCAGCAACGGGCGAAAACGCATACGAGGTAGTACACACTCCAACAGTGGCGAAATTCCTACTGAGACAGGTATGGAACGGCTACTGCGTTTTCACGGATCACTGCCTACCTGATCCGGTGATTGAGTTAAGGCTCAACTTTCCTTGGTCACCATTTAGATTGGGGTCACTGAGAGCGAAGAGGAGACCCCTGGAGAGAACCAACAGGGGAAAACGAAGGGAAAAGGGGACAGCTTTGAAGGTCGTGGTCTCTTCCGTTCAGCTTCAGTGGCCACTGAGTGCCGCCCTTTAATTGAGGGCGAGGCAGAGTCATGGCGCGAATTGTTGTCGCTTTCGAGTCAACATAAGGACGTGCTAGCGGCGCAGTTGAAGTTAAGAGAAGTGTACAACTAGGCTCTCTTTTCAGTAGATCTTCATTGTCCTCTGGACGAAGTCATCTCCATAATCAACATGATGATCAAGAAACCGCTTACCATTTCAATTTCTTCTAACCACTTCTACTTCTACGTCTTCTAGCATCTTCCCTTCTAATTCATCGAGGTTGGGCAGAACTACAGAGTCGGAAGGTCGAACTCTTTTTCACTGTTTGTGTAGCCTTCTTCTGCTGTCTGTGTCTTCTTCTAGCGCTCTCCTTACTGCTCTGCATGGAGAAGTCGCTTTCCTTGCGCCGATTGATGAAAACGACGCCACCGGTACAGAGAAGACAGAAAATCAGGTAATAGAGGGGCTCGCCCTGGTACGGTTAGGAAGATGGAGATTCACAACCTCGATCAGACTTGTTTGACGTTGCTACGAAACAAGGGATGACATCTAATGAACGTGACTGGGAGATACTTGTACGTTGATATTACAAAGGAAAGTAGATACAGATAGATACATGGAGGAAGTTTTCGTAGAAAGGATACCCGCGAGGTAATAAAAACAGCTTTTGGGTGGAAAATGTGTACCTGGACCTCGTCTTTGAAGATGAAGAAATCTTGAAATACTTAAAACCCGCCGACGACACAGAAGTAGATATGAAAGGAAACTGCTTTTGGAAAGGAAATTAAGACGTTGAGGGGCACATCGCTTCTCTGACGTGAAAGCAACTTCTTTAAGCTGTTGCTGTGTTCATCCCCGTGAAAGAGAGCTGAAAACGACTTCGAAACAGGGAGCACGAAGTTAGCGACCGTGAAAAAGAAAGCAACTACAAGTTGAAAAACTCTCTTACTAGTATCCCACGACACGACCTGGAAAATATAGTAATTAGAGAAAACCAAAACGAAAATTTTCCACCTGAATCAATTGTAGTCTGGCAGAAAAATGCACTTTCTCGTGCCTGTGGTCTGTCAACGAATTTTAGTTGGCATGCTGCTCTACTTCTAGAAATCTTGTGTCTAGTCCGCTTGATCGTGTATCTTCAAAGAGTCCACTTGAGTGTGTGGAACGAGTAGATAAAAATGACCAACAACTCACCCACGCCTCTGCTGGGCACAGAAGATGACTTCAGCAGCAAAGGTCTACATCCTCTTCCAGCAGAAGGCACGGAGGTGGACAACACAAATCTTACTTCGTGTAGTAGCACACATGCAAAAATATCGAGCATCAGCACTTCTACTTCTTCTACAGCACGAAAAATATCGACTTCTTCTAATATGTCGACTACACTAAGCACTACGTCTTTTCAAGGATTCGATCTCACGTCCATTCGTGCGGACCTGACGTTGCGACATGACTGCATTGCAGCCTTGGAGAAGTGGGGATTTGTGCTGATGGAACTAGACCACGACGATGATCACGATTCTGGTGGTCCTCTGGAAAAGATGGGTACTAATAGTGGTAGTCGACTCGCAATCGAGCTAAATGCTTTGGCTGATTTTTTTGAAGACTCCGGTTCGCATCGACTCTTTCCAGAACGCAACTACAAATGGAGCCGGTTGTTAAAATGTGGGTTTTGTGTCCGACACGGTGGAAGCTTCTTAGACGTGAAGAACACGCCGTTGGGAATTCGACCGAAGATTTCGAAAGTGGTTGAAGAGGAGGAAATAAAGGAGAACGACAAGGACACCTCTAGAGGAGATCGAAAGCAACTCCCAGAAGAGCACTCGTCTTTGGGCTCCGACTCATATCCTTTATTGCGAGACCTGAGTCTTGAATTTTTGGAGTACATTCGCGAATATTGTGAGATACAGCCAGTAAGCGCGTTTTCCCACGTTCTTACGGACGAAACTTTATGCTGGCATGGTTGGAAGAAGAAGATGTGGTAGCTATTTGATAGAGGGAGATCCGATAAAAAAAGGCAACTGCATCTTCATCTTCTCCCTCCATACACGTCTGCTGCTGAAAAGGAAAACTACGCTGCTTCTGCATCCGTTCTTCGTTGCTCGATGTATAACGCGCTTGAAAACGCCAAACGGGATCCAGGTCGTGGTCTATCTGCTGCAAGTTCGGATTCTTTCCCGGAGCACACAGACGCGACTTTTTTGACCTGCAGTCTTGCAACTAGCGGTCTAGAATTTCAACTTGTTGCTGAACCTGTATCTGAAGGTGAAGAACACAAGAAATGTGCTGGGAGTTGCTGGAAAAGAATAGAGGACATAATCGTTCCTTGCCAGAGTAAGGCTTCTGGAGAATCTGTGGCCGAACCCCGGAAAAGGAAGCTTTTCCTCACCCTGTGGGTAGGAGATTTCCTTGAAGTGCTGACAGGAGGCCGTTTTAAGGCATTGCCACACCGGATAAGGTTTCATGAACAAAGGGATAGGCCTGCTTCTCCTGGAGGTAGACAACGTAGATCAGGTTGTCCATTTACGTCAGGAAGTGCAAGTCGTCGCCACAACATCACTTTTCTCTTAAGGCCTGATGATGAAAAAATCTTAGATACGACCGGTAACCACCTTGTAAAAGATGAAGCCATAAAAATGCCAGTCAAATGCTTGCGGAAATTTCTAGATAGGCGAGGCCGCAATAGAGTATTCGGCAATGGAACAAGTGGACGTGATGAAGTCCTCGGATGATATTAAAAGAGAGGATCAATCTGAGCAATGAGAAAATAACCGCGAACCTGATGCGATCAACGCTCATTGATTGTCGTGTTCACGACTTTGAGTTCTACGTAGTTGAACAAATGTCTAGTGTTCGAGGATTCTTGTTACCAAGGAAAGAAAGTAGGTATCACTTTCACAATTATCAGAAGATTGAGGGGCACATCGCTTCTCGTTCTCTGACGTGAAATCAACTTCTTTAAGCTGTTGCTGTGTTCATCCCCTAGTTGCAAGACTGCAGGTCTGTACAAATTATTGTGTGGAGACATCTGTACAATTATGAGAAGAAAATATCTGTCGCTGTCCAGGAGAGCAGACCGCTATTGAGATCTTCTGTCTCCGAGGAATTGACTGGAGAGTGGGTCTATCGATCAACGCATCTGCGTTCTGAGGGGAGTGCCTCATCACCTTATGGTGTTTGGTGGACTTGAGTGAGAGTGCCTCTGTGTCTTGCAGTGTTAGTTGATATTCTTTTTCCCATGACTTCTTCAAAACAGGTTGGATGTGGATCATTATGGATTTTTATGCGCAAGCAAAAACGCTATTGTTTTGAAAGCCCCCTCTTAACATTTTTTGATGTGTCGATATAGTTTTGTTGACTTCATGATTCCGTCTTTGTAGTTTTGCTCGTTGACGAAGATTCATTGTCGATAAGATCCAGCTTACTTAGAAGGAAGAAAACTTTTCACGGAATTCTCTCGACTCAAAGTCAAACTACTTCTTGCTTCTTAACTCCATTGCGATTGCTAGTTTTGATTTTCCAGTCCTCCAAAAACATCGATTAATTTCTAAGTCCATCAAAATGGCTGACCTCACGGCCAACAACAGTGGCCCTGCCTACATGGCAAAGGTGCGAGCCGCTCTAGCTGCGGCTCGAGAAGGGGATGTGCCCAAGCTCCGCGAGTTGCTGGGAGAAGAAGAGCAACTCCAAAAACTGGGAGATGACTGGGCCACTCTCAAACTCCTTTCTCCGAATGTCCGTGATAACCGTTGGCGCACATTGCTGATGTACGCTACCACCTTTGGTCAAAAAGCGACTGTGAAATACCTGCTATCGCATCCAGGGATTCAACCTAACCTCCGTGATGATTCGCAGATGACGGTTTTACACCACGCTTGCCGCAAGACCACTGCAGCGATGAAGCTGATCAAGCATAACTCGAGTCAAGCGGATCTTGTTCTTAAGGCTTGAAGAAATCCATCTGAGACAGCATCTGAGGCCCGGATGTTCTTAAAGGGAACAAGCACACCGGGATGCTCCACGCGATGGATTTCTCCTCGCGCTAATGTTCGGACGTTGATCAAGTCCGGATGCTCGATCAACGTGCAAGATTCGTATGGTGCCACACCCTTGATGTATGCGGTCAGTTTTATGGACCGTGTCATTTCCTACACTCTGTTGTACCATGACGCGGACTTGTTTTTGCAGGACTTCCAAGGTGGCGATTGCATGACCTACGCAGGACACAACCAAGATTTAAAATTGGGTGAGGAATTTTTCGAATTTTTCTACAAGAAGAACTTCTGATTGAAGACAATGATTGGACTTAGTACGAATTCATTGATTGAAAACTTGACGAACAATCACAATTATGTTGCCTTCTCTTCTTTTGTTCCCTCTCCACCTTTTATCTAAATGTAAATTGGCTTTGGCTTATCTTGTTCCTTGGCTCAAATTCAGAAGCTCATAATGAATCTCACTACCTCTGCTCCTCCAAGAAGAACTTCAACCTCTCATCCTACAACTTCTCTAGGCTGTATGCTCTACCACGCTGGTTTACAATGTCCGGACACCGAATTTGGCAATCAGTTATGTGAGTACATCGACGAGCTTGGTGGCGAAGCTGGGAGTGCCTCAGAGGGTGAGGACTACCTGGATGAAGACGATGCTTCTGATAACGAAGGCAAAAACACAAGCAACTTTCAAGTGGAAATGCTTCAGGGGAACGACGATCCGGATGATTACGATTTGGAGAGTGGGAAAGAAGACGACTCTGGGCCAGAGAGCGAGACAAGGACGCCGCGTTCTCACGTTAAGGCTTCCTCTAATCCATCTTCGGAAGCATCCTGAAGAGGCCTTTCAAGGGGAAAATGCGCTTAGGATGCGTTTGGAGATAGATGGATTAGGGTGAGCTCTAATAACGAGTTGCGAGCTCGCATAGAAGCGTTTTCAGATGTCGGGAGTGATGAAGATCGAGAAGCAAGTGGCGGCCCCGCATACCCCAAGAGCCCTAAGGCCGCGAAAGCTTCCCCCGCTAAGAAACCTGGCAGTCCCAAAAGCAAAGCGAAGGGGAAAGCGAAGGCGAAGGGTAAGGCAACGAAGGGGGCGAAGGGAAAGAAGGTTGCGAAAAGTGGTGGAGGAGAGGATGGCGTTCCTGATGAACCCGAAGATGATGACGACGAGATTAGTGAAGAAGAAGATCATGGCCAGGGCACCCCGACATTTGATAATGGAGGCGGCAATACGCCGAAGAAGGGCAAGAAGAAGGGCGCAAAGGCTAAGAAAAAAGGTCCAAAAACCCAACCGGCAGCAGCCAAGAAAAAGAACGCACCGAAGGCTAAAGCAAAGCAGAAGGGACTGATCAGGCCACAAGCAAGAAAGCAAGCGGAGTCGGACGATGATGATGATGATGACGACGAAACGGACGAGGATGATGAGACATTCTGCGAGCTTGGTACCGAATCAGTGTCGATGGGAGCAGCTGGGAAAGCGAAGGCAAAAGGAAAAAAAGCCGCGAAGGGCAAAAAAGGAGCAAAGGGAAAGAAAGCTGCGAAGAAAGACGGGGCACCGACGTCAACCAAAGATGCCGATGATGAGGACGAAGACGACGATGGGGACAACGCGGAAGCAGATGAAGCTGCTGCCCCTACTTCCGGAGCAGGTGGAAAGAAGAAGGGAAAGAAGGGCAAAGCCGCAAAAAGCAAAGCAAAGGGCAAAGCAAAAGCTGGTGGAGGGGTGATGCTGGTTGATGCCACTGCAACGGCCAAGAAGGGTTTCACCCTCGCGAAGGCAGCGCCCAAGACGAGGGCTTCCCAAATCCCAGAAAATCTCCACGACGATTTCGAAACCGATGACATCGCAGTCGAAGATGATGGCAAGGAAGCCCTCATCAAAAAGCTCCGGGAGGTCCTTGACGATCCCAAGACCGATTTGCATCAAGTCGAGTCTGCGCTCACTCACGCGGATGCCGCAGATGAAGACTTGACCGACGAACCCGAATACAAAAAGTGCAAGGAACTAGTGGAGAAGTTGCGGAAGAAACAGGCTGCTATTATGGCATTAGGAGAAGCGATGGAGGCGTTTCAGAACGAGGCGGAAGAGGGGGAAAACTTGAAACCGGCATTGGGGAAGTTGGAGAAAGCGATTGAAAAGGCGACGGACGTACAATTACACTTATACAGTCTTTGATTCAACGGTGCGCATCTCCATCTGATGAAGATGATATTTCTTTGTTTGCTTCATCTGCTTTTATTCCTTTTCACCAACAGCAACATTTGAGTGTCTTCAACACTTCAAATTCACAATCTTTTTCTCTTGAACAACTATCACAACATTGCTCATTTTTCATTCTCTCTCCACCACCAGGCCGGCGCCACCACTGCTGACAGTACTACCTTAAGCGAGGCCCTTGAAGCTGTTGCCGCTGCCAAAAAGCGTATTGAAGAGCGCGCGAAACTCATGGATCTTCTCTCCAATGGTAATTTGGACGACTTCAAGGCCTTGCTTGCTTCTCTGAGTGAATCCAATGTCCTCACCGAAGCCGACGAGACGGAGTTCGAGGAGAAGCTTGAACTCTTCGCCAACAAGGAGAAGGCCGAACAGGCTCTAGAAGAAGTTCTCAAGAAGAAGCCAATCGATGTGAACCAATTGAAGAGTGCCATTGCCAGTCTCAAAATGTTGGGTGGAGACGTGTCTGCAGCGGAAAAGGTCTTGGCGGTTGAGTTGCCGAAGATGGAAGCCTTGGAAAAATTGGAGGAGGCGCTGCACAATGGTGGATCCAACAACTTCGATGCTGTTGTCGCAGCTTTCACCAACTGCAAGAAGTTGAACATTTTGATGGATGAGCGTCCTCTGATGGTCGAGACGTCTGATTGGATCGAAAACGAGAAAAAGAAGCAAGCTTTGAGGAAAGACATCAAGGAAGTTCTGGAGAAAACCAAGGCTTTTGAAAAAGAGGGAGAAGTCGACACTCTAAAGGCTTGGAAGGAAGAGTGTCAATCGGTGTTTACTAAGTCGAAGGAAGCAGGGATGGGCGAGTCGGATTTGGCGGATTTAGAGGTGAGGAAAAAGAAGATCCACAACCGAGTGGAGGATTTGAAGGGTTCGATCCGTGTCTTCGTTCGTACGCGTCCGTTTAATCAGCGTGAGGCGGATTTGGGAGACAAGAACGCGGTGACGCGCGTCGACGCCCAAACTTTGTCGGTCGACAACAACGGCACTGCGAAGCAGTTCACTTTCGACGCGGCTCATTTTCCTGGGACTCAGGAAGCGATCTTCGAGGACACCAAGGACTTAGTTCAGTCTGCCTTTGACGGCTACAACGTGACGATTTTTGCCTATGGACAGACGGGTGCGGGGAAGACGTACACGATGACAGGCAAGCCCGACGATCCAGGTGTTGTCCCTCGTGCGTGCAAGGAAGTCTTTTCCATCGTTGAGAGGGATGAGGCAAGATTTCAATTTACCGTCTCGTTGCACATGGTGGAATTGTATTGTGCAGTATTCACAGATTTGCTGCAAAAGTCTGGGGCGAACACGGGTGTCAAGCCACCGGAGATCAAGGTCCGCAAGGAGAAAGACGGCACTGTGGCAGTTGATAACGCAGTGGAAAAACAGGTTTTGTCCGCAGAAGCGTTACAAACGTCGATTGAGGAAGGCTTCAACATGCGAGCTGTGGCTGCCACCGCGATGAATGCTGAGTCTTCACGTTCCCACTTGATCACCATTATCAAATTGTGCTCTGTGAACAAGGAAACGAAGCAGAAAGTGACCGGGAAGTTGTTGATGTGCGACTTGGCTGGTTGCGAACGCATTGCCAAATCCGAAGTCACGGGTCAAGCGCAAAAAGAAGCCATCGAAATTAACAAGTCCTTGACCGCTCTAGGAGATGTCATCGAAGCCTTGACCACTCAGCCACCAGGCAAGAAGTTCAACCCGAGCTTGGTCCCCTACAGAAACCATCAGTTGACACAATTGATGCAGGACGCATTGGGTGGATCGAGCAAGACACTCATGTTCATGAACTGCTCTCCGGCTAGCAGCAACGTCGACGAAACCCTCAACTCCCTCAAATACGCTGAGCGCGCGAAAAAGGTGCAGAACACTGTCATTAAGAAGAAGTAATGATCATCCGACTCTTGGATCTCCCTTTCGAAATTCCTCATCCGTCGATCCGAATAAGGGAATCAGAGCCTGCAGACACTTGAGGAGCAGCACGTTAAAAAAATCAGTGGTATTTCATCAAATATCATGGAATCTACTTTTCCTAAACATAGGTACTTAATCATAAGTCAAACTTTTCGAACATCAAATAGCGGAAACGCCGAGCTCATACTATGTGGCCGTAAGCGAAAACAAGAAAACAGAAAAGTAAATGAACAATCATCTACTTAGTCCTTGACATTGAAATTCTTCATATTGACATAGAAATGAGTACTTTCAATAGCATGCCATACGCATATCTACCACGCGTCATCAATTAACTAAGTTGTAAGGTCATACTTATAATATTTTTTAGAAAGTAAAGGCTCCAAAGATGAAACTAAAACAGATACAGAGATTCTTGTCTCTTTCCTCACACAAAATGCGAATCTTACAATCTGGAAAATGAGACCAACAGAATTGTATACGGAATATGCTGTACCGAAGATGCGTACAAGTATTAAACATAGAAAAGAAAAAAGAACAAAACACCGAGAAATACCTACAAATGAAACACGCTGTCACTGGGAAATGAATCTATGGAAGTATTTTAATGCTGCATGCGAAACAAGCAAGCATGAGCTAGCTCTTTTGTTTTTGGTGTTCGTTGGCCAGTATGCCGCTGTGAACTCCTGTCAATGATGTCCTCCTAGAACGCTCTACTCAATCTTAATGATCATGAGTAGGTGTTCTAGTCGCGGCCTGTGATCTCCACTAGAAGTTTTCACTGACCTTCTCTTTCTATCTTCTAAGTAGATCTACCAGGCAACCACTAAATTACAAGTCTGTTTTTACCTAGTACGAAGAGAACAAACGGCGAACAAGATGCGCTCATCTGCTACCTCTTCCTCCCGTCTCACGCTGCGTCTCAAGGAAGGCAGCGCAACGGCGGAAAAACGACTGAGACGTGGTTTTCCATGGATCTGTGACACGGATGTCGAAAACATGGCAGAACTACGAGAAGCTGCGCCACTATCTTACAGCCAACAAATGGCTTCTAGAGCAGGACGAGATGGTGGACAATTACAGCAAGGCGGATCCTCATCGTCCACCGCACCACAAGACCCCATCAGACCATACCTGGCGAATGTAGTGGCTACCACTTCCTCTGGAAAGGGGAAAGGCAAAATAAAGCGGAACTTGGGCCTTGCATTCATCAATCCACGCCAAAAGGTGATGCGAGTCATTGGTCATATGCTCTGCAACAACTCCAGTGTGGATGTGGAGCATAGCGACATCTGGTTCCAAAGGCGGGTACTGAGAGCATTAAAGCATAGGAAGTTGCTTTTTGGGGCAGGTGGATCTGGTGGAGCAAGAAGTAACTCTTCTTCCATAAGTTCAGCACGTCCGCAACTACTCAGAGGCAAGTGCTATCGTCTCCTCAACGGTGAGGGGGATCAGATGCCAGGCGTCTTTGCTGACCGCTTTGGCCGAGATATCGTCGTCAATTTCACCCTGCCTGCACCTGAAGCATTGAAGAATGTCATTCTTCAAGCGATTTATAAAGTGGTGGAACGGAATGAACGACAAGAACTACAGACGGATGTGGAACAAGAGGAACATGATCAAGAGGAACCTCCTCCCTTGAGATATTTTATCCTCCGACGTGATGATCCGATGCGTCGTATCCAGCACATGCCTCTCATAGAACGCCCCCTCGTCTTGAATGCTAGAACGCTTGAACCGCTGTCGGTGGCGGATGACTACGTGAGAGGTCATAACGTCATTTCAGAATCAGGCAAGAACCCATTTTCATCAACCTCATCCTCGACCACACATACCTCTCACTGTCACTCATCGACACAAGATGCCTTCGAAAGACATTTGCACTCGGTGCTTTATGAAGCGGTGGTAGAGGAGGAGAGTGGGCGGTACGAAAATGTCAACATTCTTGAATGGGATTACGGGTTACGTGACGTAAGGACTTACTTGCGGAGCTCAACGTCTACTTCGCCTTCTTGTCGATTAACAAGGACGTCCTGTGGATCGGCGAGATCTTTAGTCGTCGACGTGTGTGGGAATGCAGCACGTATTAAGATTTACCACAATGTATTCTTCACTACCATCCTTGACTTGTTTTCCAGTAGGAAAAGGGTCACGGATGATCTGAGGAATGCAATGTCACAACCTCTAAACGTAGTCGATTTTTCGAATCATGTGCCACGCCAGTGGTGAAAGGCGAGTCTGTTGAGTATTCAGGCACGAACGCGATCGAGAGCGATGCTCGCTACACAGCAGATAATGAACGCGAAGCTACAAAGGCGATCAAATCCGAAGGAATATCTATATCTTCCAACAAGGAACGTCAAGATAGTCCGAATCCGAGTACCACAAACAAAGAACGTCGCGTCTATGTTGAAAGAGCGAAAGAAACGCAGCGGAAATTGCACTCTCAAGTCGCGTCCGTTGGCAAGTCTAGACAGCGGATCCACATAATAGACGGAAGAGTTGTGGATCCGTCTGACTCAAGGGCATTATATGGCTCGTCCAAGACGACCCCCTCATCCCTCCTCATTCTGGATATCCCTCGTGTGTGTCCGACGAACTTGCACCGAGCGATCTCGATCCTTCGTGCGAAGATCACCTCTCTGCTAAGGGAGCATCCACTTCACCGCTACCGTTCGGTGCTCTTCATTGTGCGGGATCGGCTCACAAATTTATGAGACAGACGTTGTAAGGGTCATGCTTTCTACAATTTTGACTTCTATGTACTTATATTAGTGGAGTTGTTGTATCTATATTACGTGGTTCTACAATTGCCTCTATGTATAGGAGTTGTGCTCGAATTCTAGAAATAGAACTACAGTCTTGATCTTGAATTTTTGCTGAAGATGAGCACCCACTCCATCTTTCACCTCTAACAGGCAACCTCCTCCATTCGATCCTACCCGGCTGCGCCTTAACCACTGGCGAAAGCTTCAGCAACCCTGCGGACTTTCCTATACACCTAGCGACACCCAAGAATACACATTTGCGGGCAATTCTGTATCACAACGAAAAGCATTTTGGTCGAAGCGAACACGATATACCAAAAGCTATCGCTGAAGATGCAGATAAAGATGATGGAGAAAACGAAGTTCGTGAAGAGCTGTCACTGCTTGATAGGGCGGGACAGGATGATGATGGAGGGGCGCAAGATGACTACTCAGAACAATTTGAAGAGAAGATGGCATGTTGAAGTTGACGTTTACACTCGGAACATGTGAAACTTAAGGACCACAAATTTAATGACGCACGCATACTTTTTTCTCTTTCGTTGTCATCTACTCTTCTAGTCCGACGCAGTGTTTCATATCTATGCCGAGCATGTTGATGATGGATCAAATATGACGATCTTGCGACACACAAAAGAAACGCAAGTTCTGGTTGAACCAGACATCCTCATCATGATCATTGTGGTGATTCTTGCAATTGCAACGTGGTGCTTCTTCCATCTGCGCATGTCCTGGTGCTCAGATGAGCAACACAGCAAGGTAATGGCACGCCAAGACTCCGATTGAAAGCTTCCCTGAAAGTCGTGTTGTGATGTTGAACGAGAAGTTATATACAATAGATTGGCGTAAGTAGAACGATATCTTCAAGTGCTAGAAGCCGTCGACTGAACAAAAAATATTCATCCCAATCGTGGACACTAAAACAACAAGAGCAGGAATACACCATTCTACTGTAGGATCCACAGCTAATAAACCATTCTACTGCAGGAATAAGCCATTCTACTGTCAGGAGCTAATAAAAATTTTAACTAAAAAGTCGAAAGAAATATCATCAAAAATATGGAAGTGTTTTTCTATGCTGACTCTCGTCGAGGAGGCGATGCTCCAGCTCGTCGTCCTAGCAAGAAAGAAACATCAGCTCCAGCCTCAGGGAAAAACTCGCCCTCAAGCTCAAGCTCTGGCACTGCGCAAGCACAACTTCCAGGTAGTAGACCTAGGAGCCCTCTTGGAGCTGGAGGAGCAAGTCCTGCATCCTCGAGGCCCTCGACATCAACACATCAACCGCAGAAGAACCAACAGCAAGGATCTCTAACTTCGAGACCTCCAAGTGGTACTACGAGCAGAGTAACTGTAAGTCCATCTCCGGGTTCCAGAAGTCCTGCCAGGAGGATCTCGTCTCAAAGTTTGCCACATGAAGAACAGAAGTTTGCCCGAGGGCCACTGCCTGGGAGAAGCCTTGGAGGTACAATTACAGCGACGTACAACTCAACATCAAGAAGTGGCTCAGGATCGCCTTCGAATGCAAATAGAGGCACCGCTAGAGCAGGATCTTCTTCATCGACATCACCTAAACCCACGAATGCAAATAAAGGCACCGCTAGAGCAGGATCTACTTCATCGACATCACCTAAACTCACGAATGCAAATAACGGCACCGCTAGAGCAGGATCTGCTTCATCGACATCACCTAAACTCACGAATGCAAATAACGGCACCGCTAGAGCAGGATCTGCTTCATCGACATCACCTCAACTGAGGAACGAGGAGAGTGTCCGGGAAGGCTCATCTTTATCGTCTTCTAGTCCTGTTCTTACCTCGGCATCCCCTGGTGAACAAGTAGAAGACGAAAGTCCTCGTACTGCTACGAGAAAAAATGTTCTTGGGAACTGGATAAAAGAAGATCAACTAGCAGAAAAGAAGTTTCAGGATCTAGCTACAGTTTCAGTTTCGACTGATGAAACTAATCCTGCGTCTTCATCTTCTGCACCACTAGGTGGAGCAACAGAAGTGCCTAACAATAGCGCTTCTGAAGATCATAGTACAGCTTCTCCTAGCGACGTCAGAGGTAGACATATCAAGAAAACTACTTCACGAAAGTTCATTAGAACACGGATACTGTCACCTGGAGAAACCGATAGCGATGAAAATAATTCGTCGTCCGGCTCTGAGGATGAGCTGCAAAACGAAGGGGTCAGTCTCAGTGGTTTTACAAGGAGAACCGTAGGAGGAACAGGAGCAGGCACTGGTCCTGAAAATCATGGTGGAGTAGGGCAAAAGCTTAAAAGAAATGGGCCTCAAGGTGAAGCTGCGGCTGCCCCACCGAATATAAACAGACAGTATGTCCAAGTGTCTCCAACGCCTGACGAGCAGGACGATCCAGCAACGCGAACTCCATTCCTCAATCCCTTGCTGCGGCTATTTAAGTGGGATTTTCATCCGAAAAATTGGACGACGACAAGAGCCACGACACTGTGTTGTGTCGGATTTGGTGGAGGTCTTCTTGGAGCGATACTGCTTGCCTGGGTCGCTAATGGCAAGAAACCCGGGGAGTGTCTACAGGATGCACTGCGCTTGCAGCTTAGAACCCTTAAAGATGCTTGCTCGTCATTAGGTAAAAAGAATATGGTTATGCTTGTAAGAACATGAGAGATCATACAACTGCGCTGAGGAGTCGCTGCACATCCTCCTCACACAAGCAACAGGTTATCGTTCTTCTGTATTACAAATTCTTGTTTGCGAACTCATTCTTTTAGTTGCAAAAATTCATCACACCATAGTATGAGTATTTATACTTACATGTCATAGATTTTGTTGTTGTTCTTCCATCAGCATCAAACTCAAAGCCGGGTCTAAGTACCTGAAGTCTTTGACTCGCGCTCGCGACATTTTCCTGGTTGTCTAGGGCTAAAACACAACATTTCACCCGAAATGGAAAGTAGGAGAAAACGTGCGCACGTCTGCGTCCTACCTGCTGGTGCAACCCGAACCAAGAGCTCGTCTTCGAGCAACAGGCGTCATGCATTTGGAGTTCTCGCGCGTTGACGATCCTTCTGCATCTAACATGCTCATTCGTATTGATAGAAATTTCGGTCACTTTACCTTCTAACTCTGATTGAGCGAACAAGCTCGTAAAATGATTGACCGAGAGAAAGACATCAAACGATCCTGATCGGTCCGAACCTGCATCCTCCGCTACGAGAAACAAGTTATCTGTACAACTAAAAGAATCGGTTCAGGAGCGTCCAAGAATCGGTGTTCGCATCTACTCTGTACGTCACAACTCCAAAACACCCTGAGCCTCCCACCACTCGTGACATACACATAAGTCTATCGAGACGGTTTTAATACACTGTGTGTTGAATGGTCTCTTCATGATCATGGATGATCGATCCACGTTAAGCACAGCGGTTCGTATTGATAGACGTTGTCTTTTTTAGTCCGGAGTAGAGTACATGTACATCTACAAGTCACTTTTGCTGGACAAACAAGAAGCATCTAATTCAAAAAGATGTTTTCCAACAAGCGCGTTGCTGAGGCGATTTCTCTCGCATCTCCCGTAGAGCCACGCGCTGGACCGCCTTCTGCTAGGTCACGCAGTTCCCCGAAGCAACCTCCTAAAGGTAAAGAGGGGCAACAAGAGGATTCGTCCCCGATCAAGAATGGCTCATCATCTTCTGCTTCTGGAGGAGGTAAGCCGCGATCTTCCAGCTGCATAGCTAAACCGAAGGGTGGTGGCGTTGCTCCTGCTAGTAGATCTTCGTCAGGGTCCTCTACACCAACAAGTAGTGGTCCAGCATACCCCTATCCCATGTCATTCAAGACAGAGTGGGGTGGAGTGAATGTTGCAACCAGTAGGAGTTCGTCATCTACTTCCTCTCATCTTCCAGTGAAAAACATCAACAAGATCAAAGCTCCTGGCCAAACGACCATTTCGATAGCTGCTTCTGCGCCAGGTAGTACCCTGACTTCCAAGATGAAGACCTCTACTGCAAGCTTCTTAGCCATTGAGAGAGAAACTCCAGCGTTTGGGACCAGAAAAGCATCTACAACTTCGCAGTTAATTCGAGCAGGTGGGAGTAAGAAGCTTCTTCCGCGACCTGTGTTGGCGAAAACGACTGTCGCTGGTACGACTACAGCTGGAAAAATTATTGCATCAGATGCTGCAGCTTCTATTTCTGCTGCAGCATTTGCTAGCAATCCAGCACCAGCAGTCTCACTCGCAGCACCTCCACCACTAGAAGTATCATCTTAAGGGTAGGTTAAAGGTGCTTTTGTTACCGTTTGTTATGGCTCTCCTATGGGGGACAGCCATAACAAGCGGGATAAAACTAAAAGAACACCAAAAACCTACCTCTAATCATCTTCAAAAGTGCCAGCTCCGCTTACTCTCGCCAGTGCTGGTCGTAGCAGATCTTCGGGAACGAATAGCAGTAAGCTGAGTAAGAGTTCTTCCGAAGACGCTTCAGTGGAGACGACTGATATGAATACTGTCTCTGGTGGCGGTGTTGTTGGTAGCAGTGTGACTAGTTCTACTGGTAGTAAAAATCCTGTTGCAGTAGAGCCATTCCCATTTCCGGCTCCACCTGCTCCGTCTGACGACGCAGCTCGTATTCGTGCAGCTATTGCCTTCTCCTCCTGTGCGGCTGAGGCAGCGGCAGCGGCGGACTCTACATCTTGTTTCGGCCTTGGATTTGCTCCTGTAGGAGGACCAGCAGGCGGCGCCCTTCTCACAACAGGTGCTGCTCCAGCTTTGTTGTACTACACAGATCCGGCAGGGGGAGGTGGCACCTCTGAGGCAGAGCCTGGAGGGAACCCACCTAATAGTGCCCCACCTAATAGTGCTAGTGGCGCGACAGCAACAGTTGTCGAAGGCGTGGAGACCGGAGGTCGCAGACAAATGGGCTTTGTTGACGCAAATGAACACTTACTAGAAACTCAGCAGCACATACATGCGTTGAGAGTCGAGCGTGAAGCAGCTGAAGAGAAAGAACAAAAAGATACCACAGGAATACTTCCACCCGCTCATAGACAGAGTTCTATCGTGATTGGCGGTGCTATCCCTGCGGAAGGAGTGAATGGAAGTGATCCGATTCTAGGTCACCTGCATCATATCGGCACTGACACCACTCTACTCGGTGACCGACACTACTTGCCAGCTCCGCCACCTGGAATTTTGCCTGCTGGCCAGTATGTGACGACGCCTGAACTGGCGTTGCAACCCTCTCCAGCAATGGCTGGCGTGATCTCCAACTCCACAAACATCTTTCCAGCTCATCAACAACTTGCTCCTCCGACTGGTTCACCAGCATACTCTCCACACTATGTGCCTACGCCAGCAATGCTGACACCAACCAGTGCAGGGATTTCCGGAAGGGCTCCTGGAACTCAAGTTGGTGCGGGATATTCTACGTTGTCTCTGATGTCTTCAGAGAAGGACCCTTCGTCATCTGCCCCAACCAGTTCGCAACAGCACATCGAGATCATACGGACTGCCAAAACAGCTATCGAAAAGTACATAGGATGGGAGAAGGATAATGGAAAATTTCTGTTGCATAAGCTGCGAGAGCAAGAGCAACGGTTTGCGACAGTGGAAGATTATGGCTACTTTTGAGTCAGTGTACTGCTTATAATCGAATATTATCTTCTGCTCGCACATTGGGCACTTCTTTGTGTTCATTAGTTCTACTGAATACTCATAGTCAACATATCTCAATCTCTATCTCACATAGTCATAGCGTAATATGTTTATGTTGATACCCACCCCCATTCCCATGCGTGTCCTCTCCCCTCTAACGGCCAGCTCACCGAGCGCGCGATGAATTACGACTGAACTTGTTCCGTTTTCTCGACAGCGACTTACCCCAGAGGGTTGGACTTGTTAAGGATCTACAGCGTGGCTTTAACGCTCTAGCAGTCGAATGCAGTCGTGCAAGGGCGGACACAGGCAGACTGAAAGCACTGTTGTCCGAATCCCACTCAGTCTACAAACACCAACAAGTGGAGATAGAAAAACTGAGACAAGCGAGCGATGCGCAGGTATTCTCCTGGGATTTAACTCTACTCGGTGGTTCAGGTTCTTTTTGGTTTGATTTGATGTCGGGTCGTGTTTCATTTTCATGAAGACCTTCCTCTCCAATTCCACCAGAGTAGACGAGGTCAATCAATCTACCTCTCATCTCACCACCTCCTCAGGTCGCGCACCTCGAGCAACGTCTCGTGGGGCTCACCACCGTGAACACAGCGTTGCAAGCGAAGGCTGAAACTCTGATGGCTGATGGCGGAAGAAAAGCCCAGGACTACGAGGAAGAAAAGAAGGAAGCGAAGCTGCAGTTTGCGAGAGAAATCGAGGCCATTCAAGTCCGATTGGAAGCTCAGGTTGCGTACTAAAACCAATTTTCTTTTGTTTGATTTGTCGTTCGCACCTTTTTGTAGGGGTATCTTTCTCCCAGTACAACTTGTGTTTGAGTATGACACACAGGATTAGAAAAAGTACATCTACAACAACAAGAATCTACTCTTTCTCGTCTAATTCCTCTCTACCCTACCCCAACATCAGCGCCTCCAAAGAGGCCTTCTTCCAAGAACAAGCCGCCAACACAGAGAAGCTGCAGATGGAAGCTGAGAAATATGCGGAAAAGATAGCCGAGGTTGAAGGACGCATCGCAGAGGAAAGAAAAGAAATCCAAGAAGAGAGACACAAGATGGAAGAGGAGGTAACCAATTACGTGATGGAGAGGGATAACCTTAGCGGGCAGACAAGGGAATTGAATGAGGAAATTGAGCGCCTCACCAAGCGCCTCGATGAGCACGTGCAGATGGTGTCGATTAAGGAGGACGAACTGGGCTCCGTCAGACGGGCACTCGCGGATTTGGAGACTACGAAAGGCGTCCAAGTTTCGACGTTTTCCCAAGAACTAGCTCTATTGACGCAAGAACGTGCGTCTTTTACGAGTCAGTTGGCCGATATGGAAAAGAAAATGCTGGAACTAGAAACCGAGAAGGCGACTAATTTGGACAAGGTACTACTGAAAATATCTTGTTGTAATCAAGAATCTTTTGTATTTCTCGTTTTCGCAGCATCGAAAGCAACAAACGTATGGTTGTCGTGCCTCAAACATGGAAAGCCAATCTTGGAATCACTGCTCCTCAGATCCAGAAAATCGAATCCGAGCGACTCGAGCAAAGCAAGCGTGAAGAAACGACTTTAAGACAAGCAACCGAGAACGCAGCCGAGTTGGCTAGTTTGAGACTCCGCAATGAGGAGCTGCAAAATAGCGTGAATACCTTGACAGAAACTCTGAAGCAAACAGGCGAGGACTTAACGGCAGAGAAAGAGAGTCACGGCAATATGCGAAAGAAACATGGGGACACGGAAAGCGAGTACTTGTTACGTACACACCTGGATAGTTTGCTATTGCTTCAAGATCAAGATAAAGAAAAGATCTCACTGTCAGATCCACCCATCTCAACCTTAAACTCTACCACCAAGGCGTTCCGTCTTAGAAAAAGATCTTGCCCTTGCCGAGCGAACCAAAGATGAGCTAACCACCGTGCTGACGCAGATGAAGGAGCTTAACACGGAAATGACTGCAACCTTGAAGACGAAGGAAGATGAGCTCGCACGCATTCACAAAGACCTTGATGGCGTGAAAGCAGAGTCTGCGGAACAGCATTCGGAGTTGGAGAATTTGAAGCATTCAGAGGAGATTCATGTCGAGGAAATTGCAAGATTGTTAAGGCTGAGGTTTTTTTCGTAGCTTCAAATTCAACTTCATTCTTGAGAATTCTGCCTGAGAACGAGTACCCATCTTCTAGTTCCGTGTCATCATCATTGTCCTATCTCGAACCAGACGCCAGCGTCTACTAGTACGACCACGTCATTAGTCCACCTGCAGCCGTTCTCTAATCCCTACGGTCGAATGTGAGAGCTTGAAGGCGGAGAAGCAAGCAACGATCGCGACGCAGAAAGATGCACATTCAAGTGAACTGCAAAAACTCCAGGAAGACGCTAAGGACAAGGCAAACGGGTTGCGGCAGCAGATTAGTACTTCCTCTTACATTTCTTCAAAACTAGGGGTCAGTTCTTGTAGTATGTCGAACTAATACAGCTTCTATTTCTATATCATCTCCTTCTCGCAGTGCAGCAGCAGAAGCAGGAGAACATTGAGTTCTCAAAAGATACGAAATATCTTTTGTTTTTTTAGAAAGATCGTCTCTTGAATTCTAAGGCTCTCGACACTATAATATCGTCTCCTTCTGTACATGCATCTTCTGTAGAAGTGATGAAAGGATCAACTAGAACGAAGATCAACATGACTTGTTCACCCAAAAAAATCAGTGGCTCTCCAAGAACAATGCGAAGCACGAAGTAGGGAAATGGAGGCCAAACACGCTCTTTACAGCAACGAAAAAGTCGAATGGGTCTCTGAAAGGAAATCTCTGATAGCAGAAAGAGATTCTGCTAGGTACTTGAAGATGTTCTTCTGATGCCCATGGATGCCCATGTAGTTTTAGTCTAAATATTGATCATAGTCCTTGAAGATGAGTACCTCGACAATAACCTCTGCTAACTAGTACCAGCGTTGTGATGGTAATCTTTCACTGTTGCTGTAACAACAACAAAATTATCTTCCTTGTTCCCTACTGCTCAACAGAATCGAAGCTTCCGAGTGTCAGACGATGAAGCAACTGGCAGCTTCCTTGGACCAGCAATTAGCTGACACCCGTGCCCTGCTTGCTGAACGGCAGAGAACCGATAGTCTGCGGAAAAGCGCCATCGGACAGCTTCTCCAAACCATGCAAGACCAAGACGTGGTCGATACGGATAGCATGATCGGTGCAGGAGATCGCGATGGGTCAATGGTTCAATATGGAGGTGGTACTAGACCGTCGTCTGCATCACCGATGAGAAGGACAAGTACTGGCGGAGTGGGCGGTGGAGCCATGATGACTACAGGTGCGCCAGGAGCTTTAGTTGTTGACCGTAGCATCCAAGATTCTGCGGAAGACGCTCCTATCAATGCAGCAGCTGCAGGAGCAGCTGCACCAATTGCAATCGGTGCTAGTAGTGGAGTTAACATCGCAAGTATCTCTGCCTCTGCTGCTGCTCCAACTACTGTAGCAGCTGCTGGAACAAATGCTGGCCTGACTAACAGTTTCGGCTTCGACACTAGTGCTAGTCCCGATCGAGCAGGTGGGCCGACACCTGGTGGAGCCGAGAGTGCCGCACAACAAGTCCCCTCTGGACAGCCGCCACAGATGCATTTCTATCCAGAAAATTTGGGCATCGCCAGTAGTACACTGACAGTTGTGGGAGATGAATTTCGACTGGTTCATGTTGGACACGAGCAGGACCAACATCAACAACGTATAGAAGTGGGAAACGGAAAAGTCGTGGAGCATTTTGATGTTAATAACAAAAAAGACGAGATCGCATATAATTCTTCAAGTAGCACATCGCCAGCTTTTTTCCGGCAATATCAAGAAGTTCAGCGTCTCCCAGAGCAACCACGTTCTCAACATCCACATCCAGTAGCTACTGTACCAGCTCCTGGAGGTCCGTCAGCAGAGTCCTCATATTCTGAAGCAGCCTCAGATCGCTTCATTGAGGATAGCACCAGCACGACCTCAGCTTCGATTCTTGCCCAAAGACTTTTGTATCAAAATTCAGCAGCAGCTGCTCCCTCTGTAACAGATGCTGATGCACCAGGAAATGTGCTTCTGCGAGGAAGACCACATGAGTATGCGACTCAACAACTACCTCAAGAATCACGATCATACGCAACTCATCAATCATCTGTACAAGAGCCTCCTAACAGAATCGACCCAGCACCAGCAGACCAGAGCACTCTTCTGACTCAACGCATGGTAGCTGCTCGTAACCAGTATCTGTCGGCGATGCAGGAAGTAAACGTTTTAGAGATGCAACAACAGAGAATCAGTGGTAGGAGGCATTCATGGAATGCTACGTCGCCTGACCTGCAGGTGCTGCAACAAGATATGAGTAATCATGGACATGGAGCAGCAGCAGGTGGTCCTCCGAATTTTCAACAACATACCTCTCCATCAGGGGCTCCTTCGGCACATCTTCAGGTGTACACGACCAGTGGAGGCCATAACAACTATGGAGACATCAACGGGCATGGTCATTACGCAGGATCGCAATCAGTTCAAATGTCCTATCGATCCATACAGCAGCTGCCGAATCATGTGTCGTCTGGAGTTCATCAGCAGCAACAAAACTCCTTGAGCAAAGCCACTGTCCTCTCAGCTGGTGAGTACTCACTCGGCCAGTACTCAGTCCCCTCTGACTGCCCAGAGACAGCGCCACGACGGCCTGCGACGTCAGGAACAGTGTCTTCGTCTTTTCAGCGAAGTCACGGCTACTTGGGGAAGCAAAATCCAGCAGAGGACGACTTGATGGGCTCTAGACGTCGCGTCCGCAGTAGCAGCTATGGATCTTCGTCACAGCGTGGAGGTACCAGTACTTCTAGAACATCGTCGAGAAACCCACCTACTACAGGGGACCGTGACAGGAAACTAGTCGACCCAAAGCTTCTAGCACGCATGCGTGCTGAAAGGAAAGCTAGTATTGAACGAGCGATGGCACGACATCAAAGGGATCAGGGTCACGGGTCTGTTGAGGAGGGTGGCCAGCTATCTGGTAGTGGTGGAGGCATCTTCGCAACGACTCCGCTCGAACCTCCAAAAGGATTCTTTGATTGGTTCATGTAGTTCATGTGGGGGGAACGTCACGAGGGGGTTCTTCTTGTACTGAAAGTGTTGATCAAATAGTTGGAGTGCAGCTCAAGCACCTGTTCCACTTGACGTAAATTTGCATTACTTGTTACTAAAGTGTGCGCATACCATGATCATCGTCTCTGTCTATCTTTTCCTATTAATCTTCAATCTTGATCTTCTCATTTGTTGCACTAGTAAAACTGCATCTCATCACCTACTCCTGAAAAATTTAAAGAGAGAGTCCCTGCTCATCTTGTTCCTATACAACAAGGTGATCTGCTAAGTGTCTGAAGAAATAGATGAATCGATACCACTAGTCTACTTCATTGTATAAATTTTTGACATCACCCGGACCCGCATTGGTACAACATTATCCATCTTCGTCACCTACAGCAAATATAGTATGAGCTAAATCAAACGATGGAATAAATAGAAATAGAAATAGTAGAAGTATCACTAGAAGATGAACTACTGGATGTGGATTACAGTCCAATTTCTTGACTCAACAACAACTTTCATTTCCAAGAAAGATTTCGAGTAGGAAAAATTGCAATTGAAAGCGGAATTTGATGGTGTAGTAAAACAAGAGTTATATAATTATGCGCCTGCATCGCTGTTGCATAGATCAACATAGTGAAGTGCAAAAATATGAATATGTAGTATCGCATAGGAGATCATCAAGTCAGTGAGCTAACAAAAAACAACAAAAAGGAAGTCAGTATAGCTATAGATTCTCAGATGAGACTTGAGTACAACAAAAACTACTATTGCATGAGCACGACATCAAGACCAAGAGTAATATTAAATGGACATTATAGGATGTGGGATTTCAGATTCAGAACTTGCAACCAACACTTGAGGGTCTTTTTCAATCATCTTCTTACTGTCACACTCGCACGTGAGTTCAGTCTCGAGACTCGTATCAGGTTCAGGTATGTCATCATGATGCGTAGAGATGCTGATGGTACCTACAAGGAGCGCATCGAGGACAACTACTCCTTTCGACAGATATAATCGTAGCGAAGTCATCGTAAATATAAAAGGATACAGGTTTTCCGTTTTCCCTGTGGACGGCGAATAACTTCCTAGCAGACATTCCTTTTATTTAACTTAGTAGCAGAAGAAGTTGTAGTCTTCTATCACGATCTAGTACTAGAAGGCAATTGGTATTGAATTTGAATGATTCACTCTTGTATTTGGATAGAAGCATCTTCATCAACCAGTCCTACAACTAGTCAAGAAAAAGAGCTTCAACAACATGCCAGAAACACCAGTAGCGTATCGTGTCGGAGCAAGATCGAAGTCGGACCAAGTATCAACGACACGAGATCGAAGTCGGAGTCCGCATCGCCAACAGGACATCGCTGTTGCTGATCAACAGGATATCGCTGTTGCTGATAAAGACTACGACTCAAGAACACCAACAAGTTCTTCAAGAACGTTCTTCTTTTGTTCCTGTCCTTCAGGAAGGTGTTGGCGCTTGACCGCGACAAAAGACGGGAGGTGCGGAGACTGTGACCGTGGAGGACATCAAGCTATAAGTTCATCATCGGCTTCCTCATCGTCACCATCGTCTTCGAGAAAGTCCGCATCATCTTCCTGTAGTGGTTGCAAGCTTTATCCATACTTCGAGAAACAATGGTGTTCCCATACTGTTGACGTCCCTGGACACGGCAGGAACACACGGAAAGGCCGCGATCGATGCTACGTACACGGCTACAGCTACAATCGTTATGGCATGAACTTAGACTATAGTACTTTTCCTACAGCAATACTCGATATCCGTTTTCCCAAGTACTTAGGTACCGCGACCTGATTTTGGTGCAGTATTCTTCGTGTAACGTCGAACCTGCCTTGTTCAGGAGCCTGATTGTCTTGATTCTAGCCTATAGATAGTACCACTGCTGGTCGCTTGCCTGTCTCCAATCTTCTGGCGGCCATTGGAGTATGTCCAATCAAGCGAGCTACCGAAGACCCTGTGACATTGCAGCTGACCTCACGATCTCTCATTTGATGGAGAAGGAGAAGCAAGTAGAAATAAAGGAGGACCCGTCGACTATGACAACAGAGGGAGATATATCCAGTCTCCTAGAAAGCATCAACGCTAAATCACCCAAGCGAATCCGTGACTTGGTCCGCAAGCCAGTGATGTGGTTGGGTCCGTGATAGTGAGAGCAACTCAACTAGTAGTGAGAGTAGTTGACAACTACATCTCTTTGTTTTTTCTGTCAGATTTATACTCTATTTAAATACTATTAAAAATCCCCGAACACTCTGCGCCTTTAATGTGAACACTAAAGGACTCTTCGCCTTTAATGTGAACACTAAAGGACCTTTAAGACGCCTTTAAGGTGAATGCTAAAGGATTCCCCTCCCCTTTAATGTGAACACTAAAGGACCCTTAAGGCGCCTTTAATGTAAACACTAAAGGACTCTTAAGGCGCCTTTAATGTAAACACTAAAGGACTCTTAAGGCGCCTTTAATGTAAACACTAAAGGACCCGCGCGGCGCCTTTAATGTACACACTAAAGGACCCTTAAGGCGCCTTTAATGTAAACACTGAAAGCCTTCCACGTGGGCAGCAGATGGCCTCGAGGAAGAACAAGAACAGCAACAACAGCAAGGACAACAACAGCAAGAACAACAACAGCACGAACAACAACAGCAACGACAACAAGAGCAACAAGAGCAACAACGACAGCAACAACAGCGACAACAGCGACGACAGCAACAACAGCCAGCAAAAACAACAACAGCAAAAACAACAAGAGCAACAAGAGCAACAAGAGCAACAAGAGCAACAAGAGCGACAAGAGTAACAAGAGCAACAAGAGCAACAAGAGCAACAAGAGCAACAAGAGCAACAAGAGCAACAACAGCAACAACAGCAACAACAGCAGCAACAGCAGCAAGAACAACAAGAACAACAACGGCAAGAACAACAACAGCAAAAACAAGGAGAACAACAACAGCAAGAACAACGACAACAATTACGCACCTCCATGGTTCGACTCGGTTCAGATATAGGGCCACCCTCTATTATGCATCTGCATGGCTCGACTCGGTTCATCTCGATGCAGGGCGCACAGATATAGGGCTACCCTCTATTATACATCTCCACGGCTCGGCTCGGTTCTCGATTCAGAGCGCACAGTTATAGGGTCGCCTTCTATTATGCATCTCCATGGCTCGACTCGGTTCTCGATCCAAAGCGCACAGATACAGGGCTGTCCTCTATCATGCATCTCCATGGCTCGACTCGGTTCTCGATTGAGAGCGCACAGGCATAGGGTTGCCCTCTATTATGCACCCCCATGGCTCGGATCGGTTCTCGATTCAGAGCGCACAGATATAAGGTCGCCCTCTATTATGCACCTCCATGGCTCGGCTCGGTTCTCGATTCAGAGCGCACAGATAGAGGGTTGCCCTCTATTATGCATCTCCATGGCTCCCCTCGGTTCTCGATTCAGAGCGCACAGATATAAGGTCGCCCTCTATTATGCAGCTCTATGGGTCGACTCGGTTCGCGATTCAGAGCGCACAGGTATAGGGTTGCCCTCTTTTATGCATCTCCATGCCTGGGCTCGGTTCTCGATTCGGTGCCTTTGGTTCTCGGTTCATCTGCGTGGTGTTCTATCGGTTTTGTGCCCCTTTTGCCCTCCTTTTTTCTCGGTTTCTACTCTTGTCTCCGGATTGTTGTAGTGGATTTTGGTGCGTTTTTTTTACTACCTAAACACCACTAGAAAACGCTCCCAGTTTCCTTATTCTCGTGGGTGCCAACAACAGCAAGAACAACAACAACGACAAGAACGACAACAGGCAGAACAGCAACAACAGCAGCAACAACAAGACGACAGCAGCGACACCAGTAACAACAGCAACAACAGCAGCAACAACGTGAACACTAAAGGACCCTTAAGGCGCCTTTAATGTAAACACTTAAGGACCCTCGTGGCGCCTTTAAAGTAAACACTGAAGGCCTTCTATGTGGGCAGCAGATGGCCCCGAGGAAGAACAAGAACAGCAACAACAGCAAGAACAACAACAACAAGAACAGAAAGAACAGCAAGAACAACAACAGCAGGAACAACAACAGCAAGAACAACAACAGCAAGAACAACAACAGCAAGAACAACAACAGCAAGAACAACAACAGCAAGAACAACAACAGCAAGAACAACAATAGCAAGAACAACAAGAGCAACAACAGCCACAACAGCAACAAAGCAACAACAGCAACAACAGCAACAACAGCAACAACAGCAATAACAGCAATAACAGCAACAACAGCAACAACAGCAACAACAGCAACAACAGCAACAACAGCAACAACAGCAACAACAGCAACAACAGCAACAACAACAACAACAGCAACAACAGCAACAGCAACAACAGCAGCAACAGCAGCTACAGCAACAACAGCAACAACAGCGACAACAGCGACAACAGCAACAACAGCAACGACGAGCGCAACAACAGCAACAACGACAGCAACAACGACAGCAACAACAGCAATAACAACAGAAACAACAACGACAGCAACAACGACAGCAACAACAACAGCAACAACAGCAACAACGACAGCAACAACAACAACAGCAACAACAGCAACAACAGCAGCAACAACAACAACAGCAACAGCAGCAACAACAACGGCAACAACAGCAGCAAAAGCGACAACAGCGACAACAGCAACAGCAGCAACATCAACGACAGCAACAACGACAGCAACAACGACAGCAACAACGACAGCAACAACGACAGCAACAACGACAGCAACGGCAACAGCAGCAACAGCAGCGACAACAGCAGCAGCGACAACAGCAGCGACAACAACAGCGACAGCAACAGCAACAGCAACAAGAGCAACAACAACAGCAACAACAGCAACAACAACAACAGCGACAACAACAGCAACAACAGCAACAACAGCAACAACAACAACAACAGCAACAACCACCACAGCAACAACAACAGCGACAACAACAACGACAACAACAGCAGCGCGAGCAACAGCGACAGCATGGCAGCAACAGCAGCAACGACGACGACAACAACAGCAACAACCTCCAACGACGGAAACCAACAGCGGCGACAGTGTCTGACAACGGAAAGCCCCACACCCCGGCGACCTGCGTGGGCCTGTCGCGGTGTTTGTTGTTTGGATCGGTGTCATCGTGATCGACCTCACTGCTGGAAAGAAATGGGGCGCCCCTTTCTTATTTTGGATCTACAGGGCAGCGCGTCGCGCGTTTGGTTTGGATTTAATAGCGAACCCGACCAGTTTCCTGGCGCTGCGAATTTGTTTCATAGATCTCCACCATTTTACAAGGCTCACGCCGTTTGCGATTTCGATAGATTTCCGAAGGAACGAACCACCCCCGCCCGCCGCGACAAACAGGAGCACAAGGAGCGCGGGCAAGTGAGTTAAGTACCCTCGGCGCCTGTGCCTTCTGTGGATCTGTTCACCCTTGGGGCTTGTGTCGAGAACTTTGCCGAGATCTGTGCGAGAGCTTTGCCACACCTCCCGCCCCTATGATTTAGGTGGGCCGTTGTCAGTTTTTGAGATCCGTTTCCTCGAATGGTGAACCGCTGCCGTCCGTCGTTCCCTCTCCTCAAATCAAAGAGGGCAACCCGGCCGCCTCCGCATTATTCTCAGAGCCCTCACCTGGCATCAATCTCACAGAAATCCGCACAAAGCAAGAGACCCGCCCGCAGTAGCCGCGTCGGCCCAAATAAGAACACACTGGCCGCACAGACAGCCGGCGAACAACTACGAAAGTCGCCGCAAGTGCTCACAGCATGACCGCAGCGGCCCGCGCGTTACTTTTTTTGCATGTACGTGAAAACTGTCAAGCTAAAAAATCTACAGCCGCAACAATATCGCTCGGCCTCCTTATCTAGTTGCTACGCTCTCAATTCAGCAAAGAAATTCACTAACAAGGCATCGACGTCGCAACTAAATCAGCGCGCAAGACTCAACAGCACCTCTCAAGCCTAGCGCGCATCCGCTCAGCATTGAGACAAACCACCGGCGTGGCTACTGATGCTCTGCAGAACTCCCGCACCACACACAGCGGCCACGAAATGCCCGCGGCCGTTTTGTTTTTTAGACTATCAAAGAAGTTACAGCCAGCACGAAGAATAGCGCTACGCGACCACTGCAGCCGAACGGCTTCGCTGAAGTAGCGCCCTGGCCTGGAGCAATGCTGGGTAACGATTCGAGAACAACAAATCTGGCGAAACAATGGAGCGCAGAGTCGCCCGCCCGTCTCGTTTGATTATCCACACCCCCTCAGGTGCACCCACGCGGCTAAGTACAACATACATAGCGCCATGCGTCCAAAATACCGTCTCCGGGTCAAGTATGATCCGGTCAAGTGTGAGGCCTTGAATAGACGACCAAGTCCGCGCATACCCAGGCCCAATAGGAAACTGCCACCATTCTTGCGGCGTCTCCATGTCTTGCGCCTGATACCGAACACGAGGAAGCAAAGTGCGCTCGCGGCCGATGCGTCCCTGAAGCCAGTGGAGCCCGACTTTTTCTAAAACGAAAGGCGAATGCTTTGGATGTGACCCCCATCGCCTTTCTAGCCGAAGACGCTGCCCGACTTTAACTTCACGCCCCCACTCCGGCAAGGGAGGACCTCGCGGGCACCAATTGTCGACACCATACGCCGGGAGCCAGACACCGTCACCAGGGAGGTGCTGAATTATGCGCTTTTCCCACGCGTGGGCTTCGCGATGAGTGCCGACAGTGATGTAACACATCTCACGCGAGTCAAGACACGCCGCCACTACTTCTTGGGTGCTAGGGTTGTGAAAGGCCCCCGCATCAACCTCGTAGCCATGCTCAGTCGCCACTTGTTCGAGGAGCGTGTCCCATTCCGCTGCCGCTTCCGCGTCTAAGTCAGCACATACGCGCATAAGCTCCGTTAAACTCGTCAGGCCGACGGTGTTTGCCGGGTCAAGAAGGTGCCGGCTATTCCAAACAGAGCGGCGCACATAATCGCCGGGACCCACTACGCGCCCGCTACCATTAAAGCCCGTCGTTACTAGCGTCACCGTTTGCTGGCACGTGCAGCCCGCTAAAATTACCAACGAGGCCCCCCGACACGTGTCCAG